ACTCTTGTTTATTCACAATTAGGGTAAATAAATCAAAATAATCAATCTTATATATTGTATATGATATATAATTAAATTTAAATGATATAAACATAGTAATATAGCACACTTTTAATATGGATATTTATTAAATGAGGTTTCTACTCATATGATTTTATGATTATTTGCATATTTGTGTAACAAAACTTTACACCAACGAATTTTTTTTAATGTGAGATGTTTAGTATTTTCAATAAATTATAATCATTAAAAAAAAAACAATGACATATTTCAAAATTAAAATATTAGCTTTTCAATATATGTTCAAGGCAAATATCAAAATATAAGTATGTATTTTCATACGATGTATAGTTTAATTAAAATGATATAAAATATATATAAACTAAAATTATTTCTTCATATGGTCTTATAATCATTATATTTTAGTATACAAAAAAAATTAAAACCTTGATCTTAAAAGTTTATGTGGGACTTTTAACAGTTTTAGTAATTTATACTCATTTTGAAAAATTCGAAATACAACATACACAAAAAAAAATCTAGATTTTTACTATATGATTAATACAGTTGTGTAATTTATTTAAATAATACAGAAATAAACAAAATGAAAAAGTATGCAGATTGTTATCAAATCTTTATTGTTTAAAATCATTAATTGTCATATATATATTTTAATCACATTAGGTAATTCCGTAGGTTTTATTTAAGGAAATCATGCGAAACAATAAATATTTGATATATGCGACCAACTATAGCATACGGAATATTATATTGCTAAAGAATATAATTTTTAAACTATACATTATATCACATGCTTTAGAATCCTTGGGATTTGAAATAGAAACCAAAAAATAATTGCTGAAAACTAAAAATATATTATGCTGCTAATCGTAAAAATAATAAGTTTTTTCATTCCTTAAATATTTTCTATTCATTTTCCTAATTTTACTGACTTTAATTGATTTTTTGTTAACCACTTAAATTGATTTAAGCTTTAGTTGGTGTCTAGTGACATAAAAATGAGTGAAAATAGTAAACAAAATTATGTTTTTTAATTTTCCACTATTTGTAAATAATATATTTTTATTTAATGGTTTTTAAAAAATATATTTTTAAATTTAAAATTTATAAAATAAAATATTTTATTTAATTCAGAGAGAAATTATAAATATTCTTACTCATTGTTATTATTTTACTATTCATTCTTTCTATATACTGTACACTAGTATTTTAATTTTGGTAACTAAAAAAAAAGTGAACCGACAATCTAGAAAAAAGGAGACAGTATTCGACAAAAAAAAAAAAAGAAGAAAAAAGGAAACAGTAAACCGAAATCGAAAAAACCGAATTGTAAAATGGATAAAGTCGGTTATTTTCTTCCCGTAGCTTGAAACTAAAGCAGCCTGAGTATACACTATACATACTGATTGATCGATAGATTTGATCAACAGAGTTTCTATTCATCTTATTCCTCTTCCTTCTCTCTGATTCGCAGCCTAGAATGTCGGATACTGTAGAGAAAGTCCCCACCACTGAAGCATCTTCATCCTCCGCGGAAACACCAATCGCCGCCGATAAAACAGAGCCCACGACGACGATAGAAAAGACAAAGTGGGGCGATGTTGAGGACGACGACGACGAAGAGGAAGCAAACGCAGTCTCCGAGCTCAATTCATTGAGTATTAAGGAGGAATCTGTGCTTGACGAACCCGAAGACTCAAACATCAAAGCGGTACTTAGTGAATTTCAGATTATGTAGAGTCTACCCAATTAAGCTAAGATCTGAGTTTTACTGATAAAGATTAGGTTTTTATTGATGGGTTTGTTGCAAAATTAGTTCTTTGATGATTTTGGTTCGTCTTCTTTTGTTTGTTAGGTTACTTCGGGTGAGACACCATATACATCAGCGAGTAGGTTTGAAGATTTGAACTTGTCACCTGAGTTGATGAAAGGATTGTACGTTGAGATGAAGTTCGAGAAGCCCAGCAAGATCCAAGCCATCAGTTTGCCTATGATTATCACACCGCCTCACAAGCATCTCATTGCTCAGGCTCATAACGGATCTGGCAAGACCACATGCTTCGTTCTTGGGATGCTCAGTCGTGTTGACCCCAATCTGAGAGAGCCTCAAGCTCTTTGCATCTGTCCCGTTCGAGAATTAGCTATCCAGGTTTGTTTAGTTACTGTGTTTGATTTATGATCTGAGAGTATTTGATTGTTTTAATATGTGTGTTTTTGTTGTAATGAATGTTAGAATATGGAAGTTCTTCAGAAGATGGGGAAGTATACTGGGATCACTGCTGAACTTGCTGTCCCTGAGTCGAATCAAGGTGTAACCTCTGCAAGAAGAGAACATGTTTCAGCCCAAGTTGTGATTGGCACCCCTGGGACTCTTAAGAAGTGGATATCGTACAAGAAGCTGGGTGTTAATCATTTGAAGATTCTCGTTTTTGATGAGGCTGACCATATGCTTGCTACGGTATTGCCCTTGTTCATTTCTCACTTTCTGTATAGTGTCACCATATTTTCCCTTAGAAGTTTATGTTGATAGTTGGAAGTTTTGAAATTATTTGTTGTTGCAGGATGGCTTCAGGGATGATTCCTTGAGGATAATCAAGGACATTGAGAGAGTTAATTCCAGTTACCAGGTATGTTCAACTTGTGGCTATTTAGTCTTGAATTCTAATTAAGATTACTATTGATTTCTAGTGGCGGCCATATCTACCCTGATATCTAGGGTACAAAAGGATATTCTAGTCGAAGCTATTAATGAATAGAATCACCTCAGCTGTGTGTATTCTCCATTGTTTAGAGCCCCTTATGTTAGTAAGGCATGAATCTATGTTCGCTGATTGAAAAAGTTGTTCTGGTTATTTCATTATCGACATGGTTGTTAGTCTCAGTTTTAAGGAAACTCTTTTGCTTTTACTTTCTTGTGTTAAAACTGATTTTTGCTTTTGATTTAATTTTTCTTTCTCTTATAGGTTCTTCTATTTTCTGCAACTTTTAATGAAATAGTCAAAGACTTCGTTCAGAGGACAGTCAAGGACCCGAATCAACTCTTTGTAAAAAGAGAAGATTTGAAGTTGGACTCAGTAAAGCAGTATAAGGTGGTTTGCCCAAGGGAGCAAAACAAGATTGAAGTCATCAAGGATCAGATTATGGAGCTTGGTGATATTGGTCAGACCATAATCTTTGTGAAAACTAAGGTCTCAGCAGGCAAAGTGCACAAAGCTCTTGCGGATATGGGGTATGATGTCACAAGTGTTCATGGTAACATGACTGTAGAGGACAGAGATAAGATTGTGAAGGAGTTCAAAGACTGTCTAACTCAAGTTCTCATTGCAACTGATGTCCTTGCAAGAGGTTTTGACCAACAACGGGTAAAATATCATCCTTTTTATCTTTCCAAATTGCTTCTTAGTTAATACTTTTTTTGCTCGAAACTTGCAGGTGAATTTGGTTGTCAATTATAATCTGCCTACTAAGCATAACACCGGTGAGCCAGATTATGAGGTTTACCTTCACAGAGTTGGAAGAGCTGGCCGGTTTGGTCGTAAAGGTGAGCGTTGATACTTCCCTTTTATAAATATATATATAGTGTTGCCATGAGCTAAGCATTGGTTCTCATCAATTTATTAACTAAGCATGCATTTGTATCGCAGGGGCTGTGTTCAACCTCCTCCTTGATGATAGGAGGGAGATAGAGGTGATGGAGAAGATCGAGCGCTACTTTGAAGCACAAGTTAAGGAGATCAAGTCTTGGAACTCAGAGGAAGAGTACAAGAGCGCACTCAAGGAAGCTGGCCTGTTGGATGAGTAAAGAGAAACACATTGATGAAGACAGAAGTTGTTTGAGAAAAACATCTTAAAAGACTTCGGCTTTTTGTTTTTTGTTTTTTTGTTTTACATTGCTGTTGTAATATCAGTAAGTTATATGAACTTAAACAGAAAAATCGTTTCTTTTAAAACATCTGATAAGAGTAGACACACAAGAAAGACTTTAGTTATGAATTCAACTCAGTGTCAAGCTTTAGTAGTTTCAACCCATGGGTTGTGGTTTTAGCAGCGAGGTGAATTAACGCTCGTCTGTGATACGTGGTACGCAGCTTCTTGTATTTCTGCACAAATGCTGCTGTATCAATCTCCTTTTCTAGGAACTTCTCTTGTAGTGCTTCAGATTCTTCATCCACCTGATTCATCGCCTCTGCAAAATACTCAGAAGGTGTTGCTAGAAGTAAGGACACAAGAAACTATACCGATGAGGTGTTGTCCTTGAAGTCTAAGAAGAAGAGAACCAGGGGAGTAGAACTTGAGGATCTCTTCCTTTTGTCTTTCCAGCTCATTGAGCTTTTCTTGCGCAGTTGCGAGCTCACTCGTACGGATGATTCTGCACTGTTAGAACGAGGAACACAATAGTTATTACCAAAAAGCTGACTTACGAGGAAAATATGGTTATTGTTGGTACCCACTTGGTTTCTGAGCTCCTTGTCTAAGTTCTCTCCTGTTTACATTAGACAATGACAATGTCAGGTTCCTGGATGAAACCGAAGTTACTCCTCAAATAACATGAACAACAAAGAACTTACTAGCTAGCTGCAATGTTTCTCTGCGGAGCTCATCTTTGATCTGATGGACAAAGACAATGAGCACCAGTGAATGATCTCACCGCATAACTAATGAAGCTACATTCTTAGAACTATAAATAATAAGTCTTACATTGTTCTGGACTTAAACTTGCTCAAGAAAAAGCAGAAATTGCTTATAAGCATCTTTGTCAGAGAGAAGCTTCCTGAGCTCGTCCACACTACATCACAAGTATACAAGTTTCAAAAAAAAAAAAAAGCATACAAAAACCACAACTAGGGGTGTTAAAACGGGCTGGGCAAGCAAGTTTACGTCGGAACCCGTTTACGCGCGAGCCCGTTTATCTGATGTCGTTTAGAGCTCGTTTAAATCAAGCCCGTTTATAACCCATTTATGTAAAGCCCGTTTAACTGTAAATCCGTTATAAGCCCGTTTTGAGCCCATTTATAAAAAAATTGAACATAATGTGATTGTATAAACCCGTTTTGGAGCCCGATTATTTTTTAAAAAAATTGAACATGATGTGTTTGTATCATAAGTTAATAACCTGTTTCTTCAATCAAATATGTCAAATAAAATACAACTCCATAATCATAAGTCATAAGAGTAAACATTATATTGTTTTGTTTAAACTAAAAATTCAAAGTTTACAAATGACATTTCAACTAAAATTTTAAATTTTGCAACTTAATCTTTCTTGAGTCAATCCACACACACCATCCCATCTCAAATTAGCTGCAACACAATGAAGAGTAGCTTTAATCTTCTACACCGTACCTGTCCATAATCACAGATAATTAGCCTAGTTAGTAATCATACAAAATTATAAAAAATTCAACAATGAGTTAAATGAGTATAAGAAACCACTCACACTTCAAGCTTTTGATGTTGAAGAAGATTCCACTCCAAAACTACTTGTTTTGTTTTGAATATCTTCATTTTCATCAAAGAGTTCTTCAATTGTACCTACAAAATATAATATGAGCTACAAAAAATAGTCATAAATGATATTTTAAAGTTTTTTTACCTTGGTATTCAGCAAAACCGCGCAACCAATTTCTAGTGCAAAGAAGAGCTTGGACATTTTTAGGCAAAAGGTGGTTTTGGTAAGGAGTTAAAACCTAGGATCCAACGCTAAAGGCAGACTCAACAGCTACTGTTGTGATCGGAATGCTGAGGATATCACGTGCCATGGATGCTAGTCTGATGTTGGTTCTCTTTCCAATAACTTAAGACATCCAGTTTTGAGTTAGTCTGATGTTGGTTCTCTTTCCAATAACTTAAGACATCCAGTTTTGAGTTAGTCTTTTTGTTTAGCCTGGGCTCTTCCAAATAGATATCCAAATGCGTTTTTGGGTTGCTAGCTCCACCTCCAATGTTCTTTTCCAACTCAAAAAAAATCCTGTGAAATCAAATTATCAGTTTCAAGATAATGAATGATTGGTATTATCAGAAATTATATTAAATTACTTACATTATCATAATCATCTACAAGCGGAGATTCTGTGACAATCTCATGTGGAGTTGGCGAGAGTGAAACCCCTGAAGAACTTGCTTGAGATATTTTTTGATAGTCTTTATAAAGGTCACTCAAACTCTCCTTAAGTTTTTCAATCTTCAAGCTTGCAGTAGAAGGATCCAATTCGTTGTAAGCAGCTTCAACCATCTCAGTCTTTATTCTTGGATCTAGAACTGCTCCTATTGCCAAGATTACACTATAATCCTTCCAGTATTTATCAAACTTAACCCGCATGTCTCTGGCCATTTCTCTCACCCCTTCATCATCACAAATGGAATATTTCTCCAGCAACACTTGTATATTCCATACTTGTGCGGAGTAGATATTAGAAGTGGGATAAAAGGTTCGGGCTTTATGTAATTGGACGTAAACGGGCCTTATGTAATTTTTGTGTCCATTAACAGCATGTTTATCTAACAATCTTACACGGGCTTCGTCGGGTTTGTCCTGCCACAACACAGGAGAGAAACATACAAAAAAAAGGAGAGACGAACCTTTTGTCTTTCAAGACGGGAATAATGGCAGCTGCTTCACTTGGTGAAACATGTGCTGGAATCTGACGAGATGTTTAAGGCCGGGACGAGCTTGGCGAGCTGAGTAGAGAAGGAGAGTACCATGGCTGCTGCAACGAAGAAGAAACTTCCGGAGGAGGACGAGATTGTCCTTGTTGGTCTTTTGACCCCTTCATGTAAAGTAAAGAAACATTATCAAGAAAGTACTAAAACTATTTTCATCAGATGCAACCAGTTAACTTGGAAGATGCCTTTTAAGGGCACAACTAGAAGAACACAATACTTCCTCCCGTCAGATTTACACCACCGAGTAAAAAAGATATTTCAAGTTAAGTTCTCTTTTGCAAGACTGTACAGAATAACATTCTAAATCTAATGGCAGCAACTATGAATGTTATGATCTTCCTCTATTGATATTCCGAACACCAATACAAAGAACTAATTATAGTCTCTCATATTGATCATAACCCAAAAAGCTCTATTCACGATCTCATGAATCAGAGAGAGACTCATCACGTCTCACTCAAAGCTAAACAATATTCAGCATGTTACTTTACTCTGTCTGAAACAGTGACTCTCTATCCTTATGCACTCTCTATATCTCAGTACTTATCAATGAAACCTAAATCAGCAACACACTCCTTCATTGTTGATTAAGGCTCAAACCTTACATAGCTACACGTGTACACCTTTCTTAATCACCGAATAGACCTGAAGGTCCGGAACACACGCATCTAAACTCGATAGAATCAAACTGAGCACAATCATAAACACAAAACAAAATATCTAGCTGGTATTGCCAGAAATTGAACATCGTGTCTCCGAACAACCAACACAACTAGTGTCGGAAAAACGTGCCCCTTGTACGTTCTTTGCCTAATAAGATCGAAAAAAAAACTTTTATGTCAGAACCGCATGTTCGTCACCTTTCAGTTTTGTACTTTAAAAAGAGTAGACGGGAACTTCTGGTTTTAGTTTTATCCTTAACGGGCCTTCTTGTTCTGAAGGCCCAAATAAAAAGGCCCATATTAAGCTTCACAGATAGAAACGATACCGTTTTCGTCACCGTCTGCCTTATCCACACGTAACGGCTCGCGTTTCTACACGATACAGGGTCGAATGTTTTTTTTTTTTCTTTTTTGATAAAACACAGGGTCAAATGTTTCTGCACCGAAGCTTCGAACAGAGCTCATGAATGGGTTGAAACAGAGTGACATAAAAAAACATATAAATTTACGAGAAAGATGGAGTCTTCTCTCTTTCTTCAATCTCCCTCCTCTTACTCGTCTCTCTTCACCGCAAAGTCCAAACCTTTCCCCTCTCCTAAACCCAGATCCGTCTCCATCAAAGCCTCCATCGAGAAACCTAAACCCAAACCCAAATCCGAGACGACGTCGTGGGTCAGCCCCGATTGGTTAACATCACTCACCCGCACCATCACCTCAGGACAAAACGACGATTCAGGTATACCAATAGCGAGCGCGAAGCTCGACGACGTCTCGGAGCTTCTCGGAGGAGCTCTGTTCTTACCGCTATACAAATGGATGAACGAGTACGGACCCATCTACCGTCTCGCTGCTGGTCCTCGTAACTTCGTGGTCGTGAGTGATCCAGCGATCGCAAAACACGTTTTGAGAAACTATCCAAAGTACGCTAAAGGGTTGGTCGCTGAAGTCTCCGAGTTTCTTTTCGGGTCCGGTTTTGCAATCGCCGAGGGACCTCTTTGGACGGTAAAAGATTCGAGCTTTTGAGGCTTTAGTTTGATACCATTGGTGCTAGGCCTAGGCATTTCCGATTTAGGGTCTGGTATTAGAGATAGTAGAGGGTTAGAGTATCCATATAGAACCAGTAAATTTCGGTTAGGATCGGTTTAGGTCGGTTTAGACAGTAGAATTAGGAACCGGAAAAATTGGTTCCGGTATGGTTTTTCCAGCTAATTCAGCTAACACATGGGTATTTCAGATAAAATATCGAGTAATTAGGATGATTGATAAAAATCTTGGAAACGCAGATTATTTTGGGTATTTCAAATAAAAATATCCATATAGAAACGAGTAAATTTTCGGTTAGGATCGGTTTAGGTAGTTTTGGGTTCAGGTCGGTTTAGACAGTAAAATTAGGAACCGGATAAATTGGTTCCGGTAGAAGATGATTCGATTTAAATCTTGCATAATGCAGATTATTTTGGATATTTCAGATAAAAATATCGGGATACTTTCCAATAATTTTGGGTTTCAGATACTTTTTTGGATAAATTCTTCTTTTTTTTTTCCCCATAATTTCAGATATTTTAATATATATATTTAGCTATGTTATATGTATAAATCAATATTTTCATATATTTGTGTATCTATTCGGTTCCCAGTTCAGGTTATTTAGGATATAGAAATATAGTAACTGTTTGGGTATTTGATGGTTTTGGTTCAGTTCCGGTTTGGGTTTGATTCCAGTTTTATGTCCATGCCTACCATTGATGTTTGATTCTTGTTGTGATGTTAGGCGAGGAGAAAAGCGGTGGTTCCGTCACTTCACAGGAGGTATTTGTCTGTGATAGTGGAGAGAGTGTTCTGCAAATGTGCAGAGAGGCTTGTTGAGAAGCTGCAGCCTTATGCAGTAGAGGGAAAAGCTGTGAACATGGAAGAGAAGTTCTCTCAGTTAACTCTCGACGTTATTGGCTTATCTCTTTTTAACTACAACTTTGATTCACTCACGACCGATAGTCCTGTCATTGAAGCTGTTTACACTGCTCTCAAAGAAGCTGAGCTTCGCTCTACTGATATTCTACCCTATTGGAAGGTAAGTTTTGTGTTGTTTCTTGTGTGGCACAGACTTTGGATTCTTGTTGAGGCTTTTGGTTGTTTTTTTTTTATGTTTCAGATTGATGCGTTGTGTAAGATAGTTCCGAGACAAGTGAAAGCTGAAAAGGCTGTGACTTTGATAAGGGAAACAGTTGAGGATCTCATTGCCAAGTGTAAAGAGATTGTGGAAAGAGAAGGTGAAAGAATCAATGATGAAGAGTACGTAAATGAATCTGACCCAAGTATCTTGAGGTTCTTGCTTGCAAGCAGAGAAGAGGTTTTACCTTCTTTCCTTTTCAAACATATGCAAAGTTGGTCCGTCATTGTTATTAAAATGCAAATTGATGTTGGATTGTGTTACTTTCTAGGTGTCAAGTGTGCAGTTACGAGATGATCTTCTCTCAATGCTTGTTGCAGGTCATGAAACCACTGGTTCTGTTCTCACTTGGACACTTTATCTCCTAAGTAAGGTATCTTCTACTTCCCTAGACACTTGGAAGGAGGATTCTCTCTTATCATTGATGAGTAACTGTCTGAACCTTCAAACTCTTTAACTTGAATAGAACTCATCTGCATTGGCGAAAGCACAAGAAGAAGTAGACAGAGTTTTAGAGGGGAGAAACCCAGCTTATGAGGATATAAAGGAGTTGAAGTACATCACTCGTTGTATTAACGAGTCAATGCGTCTCTACCCTCATCCTCCTGTAAGCAATCAGTCTCATCTTTCTATAATCTTCATGAACTGATAGGTCTTTGTTTCTTGGTAGGTTTTGATTAGAAGAGCTCAAGTTCCAGACATCCTTCCTGGGAACTACAAAGTTAATACCGGACAAGACATTATGATCTCGGTCTATAACGTCCATCGTTCATCAGCGGTAAAGCTCTCTTCCTTCCAGGGAACCTATCCGGTATCACTCTGATCAGCTAAAACCGGTTGTGTTTATTGTTCCAAAGGTATGGGAGAAGGCTGAAGAGTTTCTGCCTGAACGTTTTGAGTTAGAAGGACCGATACCTAATGAAACAAACACTGATTTCAAGTAAACTCGCTAGCACACATGTTATGTTATGAGATAAGTTAAAGATAATGATTTAATTTTTTGTTTTCAACAGATTCATACCGTTTAGTGGAGGGCCTAGAAAATGTGTAGGTGATCAGTTTGCATTGATGGAAGCTATAGTGGCACTAGCGGTCTTTCTCCAGCGCCTAAACGTTGAGCTTGTTCCTGATCAGACCATCAGCATGACCACCGGAGCTACCATACACACCACTAATGTATGCCATCGTTCTCAAACTCGAGAGATTAATCAGAGCGTATGTCTTGTTTAGAATGATTTCAATTTTTGTCTGATGGTTTATCTTTTTTTATTTTGTGTGTTATAGGGATTGTATATGAAGGTGAGTCAAAGGTAAGACAGAATGTGTGAAGAATAAGTTCGAGTCTGTTTTCATCTGTCTTTTATGATTATTGATTTTGTTGGTTATCCTCATGATTCATTGTCGTTACAATATTTTTGTACTTAAGTATTACTAATGAACAGCCTGTTCCAAACATATACCCCTTTATACTCTGGTGATGCTAACTAACGTTCCAGAACAGCCTGTTTCATTAGCGAAAGTGTAGACATGTCGTTTGCAATCACTAACCGATTTCATATATTCAAGCTTGGCAATGGCCTTGTCTAGAGAAGTTTACTTCTGCAAACTGTATAATAGATTATTGACTCTGAAAGTGATTTAAATCTCGGTATATAGCTTGTTTGGTTTGGTACACTGACGCGAAACGGAAATTAGAAATGTGACTGAAAAATAATTGTGGTTTGTTAGGACAAGTGTGGTAATAAACTATTAGTGACGCAATGTGCACAGTGGCAACTTCGAGAACTAACACATGCTGAAAAATGCTACTCGCATCACCTAACAAGGACACGTGAACAGAGTTTATTGGCTAGGTAGACAAGTCTCCACCTATCTCTGTCGTGACCAAAAGTCAAAACACATCGTGCACGGACCAAGGCCAGATCATAAAACGATTACTCAAAGAGGAGAAAGTTACTACTTCTTCTGAGTGTAACATCCTCCTGAGTATTACTTCAAATATGGAGTTTAAGGAGTTACAGGAAGCAATAGATCAAGTAGAGCTCGTTGATGCTCACGCTCACAACATTGTCTCTCTCGACTCCTCTTTTCCTTTCATCGGAACTTTCTCCGAGGCCACCGGAGACGCCTTATCCTTTGCTCCTCACTCTCTCTCCTTCAAGGTACACGATGATCTCATATCTATTTATTAAACTCCCTCTGGCTTGGAATCATCAAAATATTCTGAGCTTTTCTTGTCCAGGTGATTGATCAAGAATAGTGTGTTTTCCTAATGTGTATGAATGTTTTGGCTTGTGGGACTCTTTGTCTATGAAACAGAGGAATCTGAGGGAGGTTGCTCAACTCTATGGCACTGAAGCATCTCTCGAAGCTATTGAGAAACATCGTCAAACCTTGGGTTTGCATTCTTTGACATCCAAGTGTTTTAGTGAAGCAAGAATCTCTGCTCTGCTCATTGATGATGGATTGAAACTGGAGAAGAAGCATGACGTTGAATGGCACAGAAACTTTGTTCCATATGTTGGTCGAGTACTGCGTATTGAAACTCTAGCCGAGCAAATCCTCGAGGAGGAGAGTCCTGATCATTCTTCTTGGACTTTGGATTCTTTCACCAAAGCCTTTCTGGAAAGATTGGATTCATATCCTTTAAATCACACTTTGTAATGAATGTTGCTACTTGGTAGTTTTGTATTTACCTTGACTTTGGACACGCTTGTTCCAGAGATTGTTGCTTTAAAAACGGTTGCTGCTTATCGTAGCGGTTTGGATTTTGATACTCATGTGAGCAAACAAGTTGCTGAGAGTGGCCTTGTTGAAGTTTTGAAAGGTAAGATGAACCTGGCAAGTTTGGTATTGTAGCATGTTTATAGTCCCATGAAGATGTAAAATAGCTTTACTCTGATCACACACTTCCCCTCTTCTTTATCCAGCTGGAAAGCCTGTCCGTATTGAAAACAAAGGATTGATTGATTACATCCTTACTCGTAGTTTGGAAGTAGCTGAACATTGTGACTTGCCCTTGCAAATTCACACAGGGTATGAAAGATTTGGTTAAGCTTTGAATGTGTTTTTGTGTAATCACTATGCTCAATGGTTTGTAGTAATGGATCTGTTCATTCTTTTGTTAATCAGTTTTGGTGACAGGGATTTGGATTTGAGGTTATCAAATCCTCTTCACCTTAGAAACCTTCTTGAGGACAAAAGATTTGCAAAGTGTCGTATAGTTCTTCTTCATGCATCTTATCCATTCTCAAAGGAAGCATCATATCTATCTTCAGTTTATCCTCAGGTGTTAGTTACTTCATGCACACTCCAGTTATTTATGCAATGTGATTGCTTTTTCTTGATCAATCTTTTTGTTCCTTAAGGTATTCCTTGATTTCGGTTTGGCGGTTCCAAAGCTTAGTGTCCATGGTATGGTATCTTCTGTCAAGGAACTTCTAGACTTAGCCCCAACAAAGAAGGTAAAATTCACCATGTTTACATTAATCCTTATACCAAAAAAGCTAACCATTAGAGATTTTGCAGGTGATGTTCAGTAGTGATGGCTATGCATCTCCTGAGACCTACTATTTGGGTAAAGTTCAAGTTCCTACCATTTTTGTTTTGTTTGCCAATCTTCTCACTTCAGTATTGAACAGAGTTCTCTGTTTTGTTTTTTTGCAGGTGCAAAGAAAGCACGAGAGGTCATATTCTTAGTACTGCGTGACGCTTGTGTCAGTGGTGATCTCTCACTCATGGAAGCTATTGATGCAGCCAAAGACATTTTCTCAAGGAACGCAAATGCGTTTTATAAGCTAGATGTAGACACAAGTTCTTCTACTCCACAAAGTATATCATCTCTCAACCCAAAGATGGAGGAGCCTGATGTTCAAGAAGATGGTAGTTCTTTTGTGCGCGTTATTTGGGTTGATACATCTGGACAACAGAGATGCCGTGTGGGTGTTTCTCACTTAACCTTTATTCCTCTTAATAGTCACAGAACCTTGACAAGTGTTCTGTTTGTTGTACAGGTTGTTCAAGCGCAGCGTTTTAACAGAAGTGTGAAGAAGAATGGTATTGGTTTGACTCATGCATCAATGGGGATGACTTCATTTTATGATGGACCAGCAGAAGAGTCTAAATTGACGGGTGTGGGTGAGATTAGATTGGTTCCAGATTTATCAACCAAGCGGACCATACCATGGTACTTGGATTGTGTTCATTCTTTTTGCAGTTAACATGACTTTCCTTTCTGCTTTATTGCATTGATCATGTCATGTTACTACCATTAGGACAAAGCAAGAGAGCATGGTTTTAGCTGACATGCTCCTGAAGCCTGGTGAAGCATGGGAATACTGTCCAAGAGAGACCTTAAGAAGAGTCTCAAAAGTTCTTAAAGATGATTTTGATTTGGTAAAAAAATCTCAATATACCCATTTCTACTCTCTCTCTCTCTGTGAACATTCTTATTGGCTTTTAGTAGCTTGAACTCCAAGTTTCCTTGTTTTTAGGTAATGAACGCTGGTTTTGAGAATGAGTTTTATCTCCTCAAGAATGTTGTGCGGTATGGGGCTGTGTGTTTCTGAAATCATGGTTTCTTTCTCCAATCCAATCGATCTTAACACTTATCATGTACAACTTTTTTGTTAAGGGAAGGGAAAGAAGATTATGTGCCTTTTGAAGTTGGTCCTTACTGTTCTACATCCTCATACGATGCTGCATCTCCGATCTTCCATGAAATTATACCAGCTCTTGAGTCCTTGAACATCGCAGTTGAACAGGTCACAAAAAAATTCTTCACATAGATCAGCCTTGTAGCACAACTACATCATGTTTCTTGATTATAGTATACGTTTCTTTTGTAGTTTCATGCTGAATCTGGAAAAGGGCAGTTTGAAGTATCTCTAGGTCACACCATTGCATCCCATGCTGCCGACAACTTGGTTTACACACGTGAAGTTATAAGATCGGTCGCTAGGAAACATGGGTTGCTCGCAACCTTTGTTCCAAAGTATGTCAGTCTCTTATCCCACTGAGTTATAAGCTTTATAACGTTCAGATTTAATTAATATAATGCATTTGTATATGTGTGTATCAGGTATGATTTATGTGATATTGGTTCTGGATCACATGTGCATATAAGTCTTTGGAAAAACGGTGAAAATGTCTTCCCAGCATCATCTGCTCATGGAATGTCTTCCATTGGAGAAGAGTTCATGGCTGGTGTTTTGTTTCACCTTCCTTCAATCTTTGCAGTTCTGGCTCCACTTCCAAACAGGTAACTAAAACCATAGTTTTTTAGAGTAATGTTTGGATTGTTACTAATTTAAGTAATATCTTTAATTTGCTAAAATTTTCAGCTATGACCGAATCCAACCTAATACATTTAGTGGAGCATACCAATGCTGGGGGAAGGAGAACCGTGAAGCGGCTATAAGAACGGCTTCCCCACCAGGAGCTCCTGATGGTTTAGTTACTAACTTTGAGATAAAAGCTTGTGATGGCTCTACAAATCCTCACCTTAGTTTGGCCATTATTATGGCTGCCGGAATTGATGGTCTCGGGCGACACCTTCATCTTCCTAATCCTATTGGTAAAAATTTTGATATTCCCACTCATATAACTTTAAGATGTAGCTCTGATAGTATGAAATGCCTCTTACCTCTGAAACCATCCTTCAAAATACATTATCTTTCCTATGTGTAAGTTATTAAGGAGATGTCACCATTTTCTTTTGCAATTTGTTTGATGAAACATCAGATACAAACCCGGCAGATGTGGCTTCTACATTGAAAAGACTTCCTAAAACCCTCTCAGAATCTGTTGAAGCTCTGGAGAAAGATAAAGTCCTCCACGAATTACTAGGACAAAATCTTGTAGTTGCCATAACAGGAGTTCGCAAGGTACACTACTGTTCTTTTTTTTTTTTTGAAACACACACTACTGTTCTTTAGTTCCAAGAATATATGTACAGTGGTGTACTTACGCAAAAGCACTAATATGTTTTCTTCTATTTTAAACAGGCTGAGGTCCAGTATTATTCGAAAAACCTGGATGCATGTAAGCAACTTATTTACCGATACTAGTTGTTGGCTCTCTTGAGCAATGTGATGGTGATTGCTCGATCATTTGCTTTTTTATTCGTTGTTGAGTTTATTATATCAGTGAACGATAATGGATCCATGGCCGGAACTGGATTCCAAAATGATAAATGTCCAGATATTAATATCATAATTTCTAGAACTTCTTCAATAATATATTAACTAGATATTGAACAGCATCCTGTCAGGGCATGGGCTTAGGCCCGGTGGGCTAGTCGATCACGCTTTGTGGTCGGATACTGGGTTATCAAAAAAAAAAAAACAGCATCGATGTTCTTTTTCAGTTTTATAAACATATATATTTATCTATGTTCATTAATGATATACAATTTTAACGTTAACCATATATTTAAATGTTGACATACATATTTCAATTATAATAATCTTATAGTTTACTATCATATGTATTTGTCACTTTTTATTATATACATTAGTTGAATTATTTAAATCGATTCAGTATTTTAAACTATACGATAGTTTATATTACCACTATTTATAATTTATTAAGGAATCAAATATGTATTTGTTAACCAATCCGGTTTTATAGGAATCGATTCTTATATTAAAAATGAAATATTATTAAGCCATATTATTAGAATAAATGAAGGATAACTGATTTCTAATGAGGATCCATTTTTAAAAATATCGCATATGAAACAAAGTTATGACTTCTGTTTTAATATTCCCTATATATTATTTGTGGATAATTTAAAAAATTGTAACCTTAAGTTTGTATTAATTAAAAATAACCCCAATCATATGTGGCATATCTATTTGTCTTCTCAAATTATATTTAACACAAGGCTATAACACTTTACATATACCATAGTTTAAACATATACTAGATTTTGACCCGCGCTTGAAAAGCGCGAAATTTTTTTATGATTAACAATTTATATAATTGGGTTTTCTCTTAATTTAAAGAATATTTGGTATAAAATCAGTTCACCAAAATTTGTGGTGATGATTGTTTTTCATTACTTTTCATTTTCAGTTTTTGGTTTGGGTTTTTAATTTTTAAACCCGCTGAGTTAGTTTGAACTAATATTACCAACAAACAAATCTCAAATAATCGAACATCTAATTTAAAACTGAAAATATGATAACAAATTTTTTTAAAAAGTTTGAAATAGTTTATTTTGTAAATAAACAAAGCAAAAAAGTATAACATGTGTTTTCAGCTTTTGGTTTTGGATTTTTGTTTTTAGATTTGGTTTTTGTTTTTGCTTTAAATTTTTTTAATCAGTAAATTATTTAAGAAAAATAAAACAATAAATTATTTAAAAGTTACCATTGAAATTTATCAAAACAAAGTGATTGTTATTTAAAATAAAAAATATATTAACATGTTTTTTTTTTTTTTCACTAGCAAGTTTTTAATATTATAATGGGCCAAAACCCATAGGGAACAAGCCCATACAAATCCGAAAAGGCAACAAACGCCTAAACCCTAAAAACAGAAACACATGTCATACAAATCTACTACGCCGCCTCCGGGAAAACATCACCGGAACCATGAACGGCGTTTCACCGGACCACACCGGAAACAGCCTACGGCGAATACCTCTTCTTTTCCTTAGCTTTTGTCGACAGAGAGCTTCATCGAGTTTACTCGAGACCTCATCCTTGACACAAAGCCACCATTCCAGAGATCTACAAATCATCATCAACACCTCAGGAACCTTCATCTATTTCTCTATATCCATCGGAGAGCTTCCATCAATCTAAATCGAGATCTCATCCGGAACAAACAAGCCTCAAACCACAAATCATCAACCACCAACACATAGCCGCCGTCGACCGAAGGATACTGCGACGCGGAGCCTTAAACCGACCGTTTACCTTAATCGAAACAGGTACAACGACGGTAACTAGAGCCGAACGACCACCAAATAGAAAGTGCGCCGTCGGAAACAAACAAAAAAAACTAAAAGAAAGGACAATCTACCAGAGGACACTAACAAGAACAACTATATAAAAAACCTTGAAAGCTAAAACCCAGAACAGAACAATAAAAAAAGACTCGGTTACAATGAAACCCGTCGCCACAAAACCACCTCTCGATCCATATAGTTGCGGCCGGAAACCACTGAGAAACCTTCACCAAGCTCAGATCTAACGAGATCTAAGTTTGTTAAGTCAGATCTGATTATTCATAAAGAGAAATGGTTCTTGCTCTCAGAGATCTAAGAACTTACATAGAAAAAACTAAAGACAATAAGCTTTCCCCTCACGGATCCTACATGGTAACAGAAAGGCACCGTTCACCGGAGGGGAAAGAGAAGATCGCTCACTTTTTTTTTTTTTTTTCTCTCTGCTATTTTTTTTTTTTGGTTTATTGGACTCCTATTAACATGTTTTAAAGTACATGATTTAAATAAATGATTAATAATAGATAATTTTGTTTTGTTAAATATATTAAATATCTTTTGGGTCAGGAAATAATAATTGATTGTTTGATCTTTTAAGGTGAAAATTTTATTCAATGTTTTTGGAGTTTTTTTCTTAATACGAAGCCCAAAAACTAAACTATATAATTTGTTCAAAAAACAAAAGTAAGTCCAACACTATATTCCATAAATAACCACTGGTTTAATTTAAGTATAACTAGATTTTAACCCGCGCAACCGCGCGGGTATTGTTTTCGTTTATAAATATTTTTTTTTCACTTGTAAATTGGTATATATTATAGTAATCACATATTTACGATATGTATAGTAAATGTTTTCTCAGACATAATAATATTATATAATACGTGTTTTAATCAAATAGATTGTTTCAAATTTTCTATATTATACATGTTTTTCAAACATGTGTTTGTTTCTTCTTGTATATTTTATTGTTTGTTAGATTAGTATTTCATTTTTAGATAAAGTAATATAAATAGAGCTTGATTAAATATTAGTATACTTTAATTTGCAAAGATAATATAAACTTCGAAGAATTTTTTGCTAAAACTAAACTTATAGCTTCATAAATTAATATCATAAAGAATTTTGTTAAAAAGATTTTTTTAAACAATTTCTTTTTTTTAAAACAATATAATTTTAAAAATTTACATCGAAATAAATTTATCTAGTATATCTAGCGTGTAAAATTTGTTAGGGTATATAAATATTCCATATTACTAATCTGTGACTTTTGTTAATATATTGTGGATGCATTTAACTATTATTGACATATTTCCTTATAAATAATAGAAGATTCCTAAACTTATATCTATTGACATATTTTGCGTGACTAAGTTGGAAGGTGTGGGGTAATTTATCAAAACCAAATTGTTAAGCGTATCTTTGTTATTATAGATATGATTTTTCATAAGATATAATAATGATAAGATTATTAGAGAGTTAATGTAACATAACTTTCTAGTAATAGTCCATTTTTAAAAAAATCATACATGAAGTCAAGTCATGACTTCTGTTTTAATATATAAGATTAGTAGATTTCCATATTCAATATTTTGATGATATATATTCTTTTAGAACATTCCATATTTGTAGGAGAAAATATGTGTTTTCGGTATACACATAGATATCTGCCTTATTTTGAAGGTAGTTTACATTAAGGTCGTCTCTTTACATTAATTGTGTTGGTTTAATTTAAGTAATACGGTTCAATCAATTATATGACTTATATTATTTGTAACATTCTAGAAATGGTCCGAATTTAAATGACAACTTGTATCAGTAGATAAAAAGAATGACTCTATTTTAATAGAGTATATTTACAAGAAAGATGTTGGTCACATATCTTATTAATATTAAATACTATTTATTCTTTCCTTAAATAAAAAACTACAGAATTACCTAATATGATTAAAAGATATATGATAAATAATAATTTCAGTTTATAAAGATTTGCTAACATTTTGTATACCCTCTACCATTTTTGTTTAAATATTTGTTATTAAAATAATTTACACAATTACATTATTTATATAATAAAAATTTATATTTTTCGTATATATTGTATTTTGAATTTTTTAAAACGGGTATAAATTACTAAATTGTTAAATATCTCAAATATTTTTTTTGTGATCAATTGTTTAAATTTTTATTATAATAAGATACAAATAATTATAAAATACATGAGTAAGATGTCTTATTTAATATGTTTCTATTAATACATATAATAATTTAAATTAAATTACATACCATATAAAATATATTAAAATTTGCATTCACTTTTTAATGGTTCAAAATTTTGTTATAAAAATATATTGATAATCATAAAACCTTATAATGAGAAAATTCATTTACTAAACATCCATATTTAAAATATATTATAGATATTGCTAATGTCATTTAAATTTTATTGTATCTAAGATATGATGGATAAAATTGATTGTGTTGATTTATTTACCATAAAATAATTTTTAATAAATAAGAACAATTTTTTGATTTAAATGCACACACCAAATACCATATATATTAATTGAAGATCATTTAAAAAGTTATAACCTTAAGTTTATACTAATTAAAAAAAATTATCCTATTTGGCAGTTCTCTATGAAATTCTATTTAGAAAAATTCTAAAGCACTTCATATAAAACATAGTTTTAAAACAAAGTATGTTAGTCTCATATAAGACATATCAAACTAAATCTCCTATATATTTTTTCCTTAAATAAAACCTACAGAATAACCTAATGTGATTAAGATATATATAACTATTAATAATTTTAACTAATAAAGATTTATTAACAATTTGTATACTTTATATCATTTTTTTAATTTTTTATTATTAAAAAAAATTACACAACTACACTAATCATATAATAAAAATTCAGATTTTTTTATATATCTTGTATTTTGAAATTTTCAAGACGAGTATAAATTACTAAAACTTTTAAAATTCTCACATACACTTTTGTGATCAAGGTCTAAATTTTTTTTCTATAATAAGTTACAATGATTATAAAAGCATATGAATAAATAATTTTATTTTAATAGGTGATTATGTTAACATATATATATATATATATATATCATATCGCAATAAATAAATTTATTTTAAACATAATTATAATTATAATTTAAAATTTAAATTAATTTTTTATAAAGTTATTTTTTATTTAAAATTATTTTTCAAAATATAATTTTCTGATATTATTAGAAAAATAAATAAGTTATATTAAATTAGTTTTGAAACTTTATATATTTTAAATGTGAATATTCTACCAACTGCTTCTTAAGAACGCATTAGGGAACTTGATAATGCTCTACCAATTAAGCCATGTGACACTCCGTTTCTTTTTCATCTCTCGAACACTGAAAAGTGAAAATATATCTGAACCGGATCCATTAAATTATAAATTTTGATCAACAGTTCTAATTACAATTGTTTCTGATCCTACGTATAAATAATTATATAAAAATTCCAAAATCCAAATACATATAAAAACAATCATATGTAAATTTTAAATTTGTGAATACTAAAGTCTTATATTTTAATTACATACACTCATTCTGCACAAAGCGCATGTCTTATCATAGTATAAGATAAATATGGTTAATATTAAGGAAAATTTGCCAAATATGACTCACAACTTGGTTTCAAATGCAAAAGTAAACCCAAACTTGAATAAAATGCAAAAGTAACCTAAAAGACTATCTTTACTCTGTTAAAATAGAGTCATTCTTTTTATCTACTGATACAAGTTGTCATTTAAATTTGGACCCTTTCTAGAATGTTACAAATAATATAAATCATATAATTGATTGGACCGTTTTACTTAAATTAAACCAACACAATTAATGTAAAGAGCCTTAATGTAAACTACCTTCAAAATATGGCAGGTATCTATGTGTATACCAAAAACACATATTTTCTCCTACAAATATGGAATGTTCTAAAAGAATATATATCATCATAATATGGAATATGGAAATCTACTAATTATACTTAAATTAAACCAGTGTTTATTAATGGAATATAGTCTTGGGTTTACTTTTATTTTTTGAACAAATTATATAGTTTGGTTTTTGACTTAGTATTAAGATAAAACTCCAAAAGCATTGAATAAACTTTTCACCTTAAAAAATCAAAAATCAATTATTATTTTCAGACCCAAAAGGTATTTAATATTTTTAACAAAATAAAATTATCTATTATTAGTCATTTATTTAAATCATGTACTTTAAAAAATGTTAATATATTTTTTTATTTTAAATAACAATCACTTTGTTTTGATAAATTTCAATGGTAACTTTTAAATAATTTATTGTTTTTTTTCTTAAATAATTTATTGATTTAAAAAAATGTAAAGCAAAACCAAAATTCAAATCTAAAAACAAAAATCCAAAACCAAAAGTTGAAAACACATGTTATATTTTTTGCTTTGTTTATTTACAAAATAAACTATTTCAATTTTTTTTTAAAAAAAATTGTTATCATCTTTTCAGTTTTAAAGTAGATGTTCGATTATTTGAGATTTGTTTGTTGGTAATATTAGTTCAAACTAACTCAGCGGGTTTAAAAATTAAAAACCCAAACCAAAAACTGAAAATGAAAAGTAGAAACTTAAAAACTAAAAACTTAAAACCAAAATCTAAAAATAAAAACTGAAACTAAAAACTAATGAAAAACAATCATCATCACAAATTTTGGTGAACTGATTTTATATCAAAATATTCTTTAAATTAAGAGAAAACCCAATTATATAAATTTTTAATCATAAAAAATTTCCGCGCTTTCAAGCGCGGGTCAAAATCTAGTTAAAATTACAGCCAGTCACTTGTGAACAAAAAAAAAACTTAGATTTTTTTTTACGTTTCTAACCCACCAACTATTCTATCCATTCGTAAATAATGTGAACAGGTGGGTTGAAGTAAAAAAAATGAAAGTTAGTTTTGTGTTTAACTTTGAGTTTTAAGTCAAATTTGCAAAAATCTCTAATATTAATTTTATATATTGACTATGTGTGCCTTTTTTCTAAAACACTTTGATAGTTACCAACTTACCCGTAATGCAAGAACCCGTTGGATACCATGACAATATGATGAAGAAGACAAGAAGTGATGCTAAATCTAAATTATGAGTCCTGGATAATTACAAATTGATGATAAAATATATCAACAAAAGTTGATAAAAGAAGATTGCTTTACGTAATGTAGGCGTTTCAATGAATTCATGCCGTCGTTCGTGGAAAATTATATAAGCAATGACCTTTTCAGACATTATGATTGGTTACAATGATATTAGTGGACATGTGAGGAGGCAAAGTCTACATTGTTTCTTCTTTCTTCTCCAAAGATGTCGCCTAACATCACGTAATTTAACCTTACGTATAGCTTACATTAGTAATCTAACATCAACTTTAATAATAATCTTACAATCACGCCTATTTAACCAATCCTAATTTGTAAGAGCTTTTCAAGAAATATTTAACAAAACATTGTGTTAATTTTTTTTTTAACAAAACACACTCATGTATAACTGTTTGTGCGCGTGTGTGTCTATGTATGTCTACAAGTGAAAGGAAAGTTGCTCCACAGAAGTCACATGTCGCCTACTTGAGAATTGAGTTAGAGAACATTCATACATTACCACTGAATGTTGTTGAATGTAAATAAAATCTAAAATCTAAAGCAACCAATCTAGCAAGTCTACCAACCAGCACAGATCTCCATCTAAGCCCATTGACAAGCAGGAAGAGGAGAGGGGCCTTATGAAGAAAGGAGAGTCGGCGTGGTTACACAAAATTTTGAACAAGATAGGTAAACTGTAACTAACCAAATGATAATCAACAATTAAATGTCTTTGTTATAGTCTCATGCATGGAATAATATGTTTCTAACAAGCTTATGACACCAGTTAAACGAAAAACATTTTATTCTGGTCAACAAGACAACAACCAAGACTCTTAATTTAATACTAGCATGCATTCATACTATATAGCTCGTGAGAAAAATTTAATGTAACGTCACATCATTTCTGTAATTCAATGGTGAAACCTGACAAAGGGATTCATATATACATCAAATCCTACCGTTTGTTTTGTTTTGTTTGAACTTTGAAACTTATGGATATACTCATGTCTAGGCGTCTCTCAGTTTAGGTAAATTACATTTTATGAAAACAAAAGAGCTTTTAAGAGAAAGTGAAGACCGTTTCCTCGAGACAAGCAGATTCCCAATCCTCGAGGCTCAGTAACTACAACCCTCTCTCTCTCTCTTTCTCTCTCTGCTCTTCCAAAAGAACCAAATAAAAAATAGAAAAATACAAAAGGCAAAAAAGCCACTATTACAAAAGCAAAAACCCACACTCTAAAAAGCCACTAACTCGCAAACACTGGTCAGTAAACAAAGAAGAAGAAGAAGAACTAGTCATGTCTCCCTCAACATCTTCTTCTTCTCTCACCTTTAATGGCCTTTAACTAAGAGTAAACCAAAAATTAATCCTAAAATTTTCCAAAACCCTAGAGTCAGTTTTTTTTTTTTTTTTTTACAATGATGCTTCAAAGAAGCTGCATTGTAATTTTCTATGTTTCTCTGTTCGTTCCACACATGAGTTTAGCCATGCTTAACAAAACTCTTCTTCTCATACCACATCCCGACCCAGAACAAGTCGCTCATGATGTTCATAGGTACGTACACATACTACATTTCCTCTCATGATCCACATTTCGTCACTTATTTCAGATTCTCTAATGGAATTTGACATTCACGTGTGTTCTTGTGAATCTTGGGTTCTCTGTTTCTGTTGCCTCTGTCTGTTACTTCTCATTTTCCAGTTTAACCGTACCGACTGTGATTAACCTGTTTAACAGGAGAGTCAATGCCTCTCTGTCGAGACGTCAAGCTATGGACACGACAGACCAAACCGGTTCAAGCCCGTGCTTAACCGGGAACCCAATCGACGACTGTTGGAAATGCGACCCAAATTGGCCTAATAACCGACAAGGTCTAGCCGATTGCGGAATCGGGTTCGGGCAGTACGCTTTGGGAGGCAAGGGCGGCCGGTTTTACTTCGTCACTGATTCTTCCGACGACGATGCTGTCGAGCCTAAACCGGGCACTCTCAGGTACCTTTTTGTTAACCGGCTAAACCGGACATGTCAGAAAGTCAGGTATAGTCTTGACAAATAGACAGCAATATTTTGGTTTTTAGTGGTTCAAGAGAAAGATATCATCTTTAGATTTTAATACTCGTTTGTTAACAACACGATACACTTTATTCAAAACATGTCATTATGTTTTAAAACCTTGAACCCTACTTATGTGAAATAAAATTCTGTCTAGGGTCCATTTATTTATCCATTCCACAATAACTTTTTAACACGATATTTGTCATCTTTTATTCACATGCACCACACTAATCAATTACGTACCCCGACTTTTTTCAACACCACTATGTAAGGAAATTTCCAAATAAGCCTTAATTTAGTAGGAAAACTCCCAGTGACCCTAAAGTAGAACAAGTGTATTGGGACCTCCAAAACTTTGGAATTATTTGTCAAAGGAAGCGGGTTTACAATGTGAAAAATACTTAAAATGAACCGTGAAAGTACTTATCTATGGCTTTTTGAAGTATTATATTTTCTTGGTCAATGAACTGTTCTGCTTTTGCAGCATTTGTAATTTTTAACCGTCCCTGTCTTGGTGTCAGATACGGAGTGATACAAGTGGAGCCATTGTGGATAGTGTTCCCAAGTAACATGATGATAAAACTAAAGCAAGAGCTAATATTCAATAGTTACAAGACTCTTGATGGAAGAGGAGCTAATGTTCATATTGTTGGTGGTGGCTGCATCACTCTTCAATATATCTCCAATGTCATCATTCACAACATTCATATCCACCATTGTTACCAATCCGGTATTTTTTTACTCTTTTTAACGGCTAATAATTGTTTATTTTTTGACCTTTTTCTATTTTCTTCTCAAAGATAATTATTGCCCTGACCAAAGTTTTTAGTAGGTCCCGTTTGGTGTACAAATTTTCCTTCTCATCCATTGGTGGTTTCAAAAGCAAACAAAGAAAATATGTGTTTTTAGATTACAAGCATCTTTGTTCAAAAAAAAAAGAAGATTACAAGCATCTATATTGAATATTCATAAAAGCAATAAAATCATTGTGTAATTGTTTAAGCATGCTTTCACTAGGGAATACTAACGTACGGTCAAGTCCAACGCATTACGGATTCAGAACGAAATCAGACGGTGATGGTATCTCCATATTCGGATCAAAGGACATTTGGATCGACCATTGTTCTCTCTCAAGATGTAAAGATGGTTTGATAGATGCTGTGATGGGATCCACTGGGATTACAATATCAAACAATTTCTTCTCTCACCATAATGAAGTCATGTTGCTTGGTCACAGCGACCACTACGAGCCAGACAGTGGCATGCAGGTCACATACACTAATTAGTCCATAATGACTAAATAATTTTACTTATTTTAGAATGAGGTTAATTTTTATGTGATTTTTTTTTCCAGGTAACCATTGCTTTTAACCACTTTGGAGAGAAATTGATACAAAGAATGCCAAGGTGTAGACGTGGATACATCCATGTGGTTAACAACGATTTTACTCAATGGGAAATGTATGCGATTGGCGGTAGTGGTAACCCGACCATTAATAGTCAGGGTAACCGTTTTACCGCCCCATCCAACCCGTTTGCCAAAGAGGTAACTAAACCCACTTACTCAACAATGTTGCCATGTTGGTAAGTCATAGGTCATTTCATAATTAGAACAATACAACAACGTCGTTAGTATGATAGATAGTATGTGTGATAACACAACATCAAGAAACGAAAACATTAATTGTTGTGTAGGTGACTAAAAGAGTAGAAACGCCGGACGGTGAGTGGAAAGGGTGGAACTGGAGATCTGAGGGAGACATTTTGGTTAATGGAGCCTTCTTCGTGGCGTCTGGAGAAGGTGCGGAAATGAGGTACGAGAAGGCATATAGCGTTGAGCCTAAATCCGCTTCGTTCATTGATCAAATCACATTTCATTCAGGCGTTCTAGGCGTTGGCGGCAGGTTTGGATTCTACATTCCATCATACAAAATCAATTACTCTTTGCCAACTTTTCTTTTTGACAAAGATATTATGATTTTTGTAACCAGAAAACACTATGAATTTTCTTTTTACCCAATACACTATAAATCGTATTATCTCTATGCCTATGTATTTTTGTGTAAATTGTTTTGTTTTCCAACTACTTTTGCCTTTAACTTTATCCTTTTTCTTTTGTCTAATTTATTTTTACGTATCCCCACTATTTCACAATCACGCTCTGACGCTCATTAACCCTGAAAGTTTTTTAGCAAAAACAAAACCCTGAAAAGTCAAATGAAGCTAACTGAAGATGTTTTGGTTAACAGGAATAACAATCTGGGGATGTGGACTACTACTGGATCCGAAGGTAGTGGCGGTTTAGATTCTTTTAATGACTATACTGATGAAATGTCTGGTACCGGTTCAACTAACCGGTTATCTATTTCGTTTATTGTTTTAGCTTTCATGCTCAATTTGATATCATATCTGGTCATGTTCACTTCTTTAACCCAAATGTTGATGTTGTTGTAACATAAGTTTTACCTTTTTAATCAACGAACAAGAAAAAGATCGTTTCCAAAACACATTCTTGTTTTAATTGACATAGCTCTCTTTACATAAAGCCACATGTGTCAGATTGTGAAAAAATTGTAACCGTGACGTTGTAGCATTCCTATGATCCTAGAAATTACGTAACGAACAATGATTATATAGTATTGTCTTCCTTCTGTATTTTTATAATTTTATACAAGAGGGCGTTTCATACATGCATCTACACTTCTAAATAGTATAATTGTTAACACTTCTTTTTTGTAAAGGCATTCTAATTGTTAACACTTTAAACTAATCATTTGGCACAAATGTACGATAAACAACTAATTTAATTCAGATTAAAGATAGAGCCCATCAAGGAATCAGCCAATAATGTTGACCAAAAAGAACTAATAATTTTTCATCCGTTGGAGCATCAATTTCTCGTGTGTTTGCTTTGTTGTATAGAGCAAGACTTGATAATAAACATCAGGCCTACATTTGTTTTTTGTTTTGTTTTGATGGAGATGTATATCCTTTATATCTTTTTGTTGTTTAGTGAATATTATATGAGTTGGTTACATATTGGGTCACTTTTTGTCTTTTGTTAATATCCAAAACCACTTATGATTTGTAGCATACTTTCTCTTATTCTTTGACATCTGTATTGTCCTTATTGTCCTTTAAGAAAGGAAGCTTGGTTTGGCCATTGTCGATTTGGTGGATGTTGCAGTTTAGTTAATTTGCCAAGGGAATTGGTTTAGCTTTTCATTTATGAGTTATATTAGGTAGGTATATTGACTGTCGTGACTTTTGCTAGCCACAAGATCAAGAAGGCTAGATTTGATCCGACGGCTGGGGTTCAAAAGAGAAATTATAGTACTTCTAGACAATGACGTGAAATTAATACTTCACTCGTAGGTTTATCTTACAGTAGAAAACGACGTGACCTTCATCTTGGGAGATATCAGGAAGGTAGTGTCTTGATGTTTCTTGCCGGTTATTTTGAATATCTTGTTTGTTCATTCAACTTAATTTGTGTCGTACGTTCGTTTTGTAGTCGTAAGCTATGGAGGAGCTGAGCATGGTAATCGCCGGGAATTGGGTTTGTGGACCGGGGAACAAGTGGGATTTCGTTGTGGACAAGAATCAGATGGCAAGGCTCGTGAAAGTGTACGAGGGGATGTGTTTATCAGATCTGGAAGTGAGTGTTTTGAAAGAGTTCAAGGTAGACGGCGCCGTTTATAAAGCAAAATTAAGCTACTGGCCACCTACTAGTATGGAACTTGCTATCGGGATAACAACGCCTCATGTTTCAGTGACAAGCAATGCAGTAATAAGTTAATACCTGAAGCATTTGAGGGTCAAATGAGCAATGAATTTGTTCGTGAGGTTTGAAGAGGTTCTCCCTCAGGAGGAAGATGACCACATAGACGACTCTGGAACGGGTTTTGTGACTCCTGGTGCTTTTAAACAGAAGAGCACCTTGCTCCGCCGCGTTTGAAGCAAAAGACTCCGTATAGTGGAATTTCAGGTTTTAATAAGAACATGTTCTCGTCTGGTGAGCCTAGTTTTACTAAGAGGCGATGCGTGACTGAAGCTCCAGCAGTGAATCTTGATGATTTGGACTTTGTGCGTGACGCTCAGAGAGTGGAGGCGGAGATGGATGGAGTTGGCAGAGTTAACGACGGAGGAGTAGTCAGTGGGGGTAGCGACGGTGAAGAAGAAGTGACGAGAGATGAGATAGATGATAGGGACATACGTCCTAGAGGATGCGAAAAAGACTTCTGGAGTCCATTGCTGAGTGGCGACTATGGTGGCTCGAACGCTGATAATGTCATATACAACTAAGATGAGATTGTGGACGGTATTCTTAGGAAATCTGGTCCATGTTTTTTTTCCAGCAGCATACCTGAACACATTCCAACTGCAGCTGTAGCCGGTGATTCTAGTGGCGGGTTCCCTGATTCAAAGGAAGATAGTGAGGGACATCAGTGATTTTCTGGTGTGGACGGTGAAGCTCGAGCACGTACACGAAAACTAGAAGATGTTGCTGACGATGAGTTTGACATTCCACCGCTTTTTGACGATACAACTTACGAAGCATCTGAGATACCAGACATGGATGGCATATAAAATGATGGACATATCTATGTAGGAAAGGTGTTTGTGAACAAAGAGGAGTGTGAAATTTCACTTGTAATCTATGCAATAAAGAAACAATTCCGGTTCAAGCAGACGACTACCAAAATCGACTCTTTTGTTTTTACGTGTCCAGACATGCGTTGTGAATGGAGGATAATAGCGCATGAGATTAGGGGGACTGGATACTATGAGATTAGGAAAGCTCAGCTAGATCATAGTTGTTCAATTGACTTCAGAATGGGGTATAAAAGCAGAGCTACTTCTAAGGTGATTGCTGCTGTGTACAAGGCAAAATTTGGTGTTTCTGGTAAGGGTCTAGTTCCTAGAGAATTACAACAGGTGTTGCTAGAGGATCTCAAGGTCTCCGCATCGTACATGAAGTGTTACCGCGCGAAGGAGAAAGCTGTTGAGGGCGTATTTGGATCAGAGGAGGATTCATATTTGAAGTTACCCGAGTATCTCCACATGTTGAAGATAGCAAATCCCGGTACAGTTGCTGATATTGAGACCGAAACTGATGAAGATGGAGATGAACGGTTTCTCTACTTATTTTTAGCTTTTAGGGCTTCCAAGCTGAGGTTGGTGATTGTGATCGATGGGACACATCTCGGGGGGAAGTACAAAGGAGTATTGTTGACAGCTAGTGGCCAAGATGCAAATTTTCAGATTTTCCCCTTAGCATATGATGTTGTGGACAACGAAGATGAGGATGCGTGGACGTGGTTCCTTCAAAAGCTTGAGCGAATTTTGGACAGGGCAACTTGTATTTCAACCGCTGTAAAGCGTGTGTACCCTCGAGCTCATCATGGTTATTGCATCGTGCATTTAGCTAGGAATGTGAACTCCCGGTACTCAAGCAAAGGATTGGCAAAAACAGTGGTTGATTGCGCTAGAGCCTATAGACCTAGTGTTTACAAGGATCAGTACACGAAGATAAGAGCTACGAACAACGACTGTGGTGCATACCTAGGGAGGATTGGAGTTGCTTACTGGACGAGGGCCAAATTTCCAGCAGATAGGTACAATATAATGACCAGCAATATAGCTGAGCAGTTGAACAAAGCCCTCATGGAAGGTAGGACGCTACCTGTGAAGGAGTTGGTGATCTTCATACAGAGGATGATGACACGGTGGTTCAGAACTAGGAGATCTAAGTCGGAGAAGCATAGAGGACAAGTTAGTGTAGAGGTGGACAAGGAGATAACTAAAAACATGACAGTTGTTGGTGGGAGCAAAATTAATTCTGCAACAGATTGGAGATGTGAGATCATAAACAAATTTGGACGTTCAGACCGCGTCCTGCTTGATGTTAAGTAGTGCAGCTGCAAGTACTTTGACAAAATAAAGATACCCTGCGGACATGCCATTATGGCAGCTAATCATTTGGGAGTGAGTTATGATACTTTGGTGGGGCATTTTTACAAAACGGCGACGTGGAGAGAGACGTACGCGGGGGTTATATCACCTCCCGGTGATCCACGGGATGTGAAAATTCCAGAAGCAGTCAAGAAGGAGGTATTGTTGCCTCCAACCACCAAGAGACTTGCTGGGAGAAGACGCAAGAATCGCATCCCTTCTACTGGTGAAATGCCTGTAAGTGGTTGGTGCCAATTGCTTTTGTGGATGACAATTGCTAATCTAGCGAGTACTGAGCAACGTTGTGTTGATGCAGATTGAAAGGAAGACGAAGGAAATACCAAACAGATGCACTAGGTGCCGAGGTGAGGGATACAACCGCGCTAGGTGCTGTGCTGCAATCTAAGCACGAGACAGATGACTTGGAATGTTTGGGTTGCGAGTGTTTCTTGTTTGTGGCAGTGGTTTTTTCGTGAATGTAATTCACAAAAATTCGGAGAGATTTTCAACTTTTGGAGTAATCATTAGTTTGTGTTTGTAATTGAAGCGTATTTTGAGACGAAATGTTGTACAAGTTAATTGATTTGCAAATGTTTTGGTGGTTAAATCCATGTTTGCTTGGTGATAAAGATTTGTTTTTCCAATATAAGCATCCACATCTAGAACAAAAATTTGTTATGTGGTTTGGTGGTTAGTGAAAACAATTGTAGCATCCACTCTTTTTAGTGGTTAGTGAAAACAGTTGTAGCATCAAAAGTGTTTGTAAGAGTACAGATGAAGATTTAGTTATATTTTTGTGTGATTTGGTTGTGGATGGCATTGATTCCCTTGATTTAGTTTGTATGTCTAGGAGTAGGTTGTAGTACTTTGATGAAGAGACCTCAAACGCATATATAAACTAGAGACCTCAAACGCAGAGTACATGATAATACATGTTAAAAGAAAAATGCTGAGGTTAGCATCTGAACAACTACCCATTACAATCAAGTGAGTTTGTAAGAGAACCATGCTGCAACTCCCAGGACAGCAAAAGCGACACCAATGTTGACAGTGAATCGTGGAGAGTGAATGCGGTGTCCTGCAACTCCAGTTTGGTTTGTGTTGTCAGTCTCCTCCAGCTGTGTAACATTCACCTGGTTCATCTTTAGTAATGTTTGTGCTAATTCTTCTTTCAGTTTCCCGATACTAGCTTCTTGTCGAGCTAGCTTCTCCTGAACAGAGTTGGAAAGGGACTGCAAATCGTGTAACAGATCCTAGCGCTTAGCGTCAACAATCCTAAGCTCGTCAAGGATTGCCTCATCTTCCCATTTAAACAAATGATCTTCTGTTTCCCTCTATTAACATACATAAGTAGTAGTTGTCATAATGGAGAAGAAAGGGTCTCATGAAGGAATAAATAAAATATCAAAAGGGTTTTGATTGACTAACCCCCAGAGCAATGACGCATCTATGGAATCTCCGAAATGGGTTCTCTTTGGTTCGAGAAGCAAAAGTTTTTAGGTTGTTCCCGCACCAGCATCGTGTGGGAACACTGTACACAGAATGTCGGTGTCCGGTTATCGAGGAGGAGGAGGATGAAGTCATGAGTGTTGCCAAGTGGGAGGAGGAGGAGGAGTCTCTGTTGTGCTGGAGCGCAAACCCTAATCTGAGATACATTTGTGAATTTTTGATCTTTATACCGTCTAGTTCTCTTTAATTCTAATTGTATAGGGTCCGGTTTGTACTCTTGTTTTTTAGACAGTGAATATTTTATGTTGTGTTCCTATTCAGGGCCGGACAACACTCAAATGGCCCAAATGGCTTTTGTTTTTTATTTGGTGGACGTGGATGGTGGTTATGGATGGTGTACTTTACATTTTTCGAGAATGGGGAGGTGAGAAAAGTTTAAAATCCTAACGTTAATTTATATTACAAGCCACAAATATTAGGTGGAGATCAAAGCAAAAGGACGCACAAATGCATTAGTACAAAAGATGATAGTTGTTAACATGACAAAAGCATAACCATAAACGATGTTCGAGAGTCAAATTGGTTTGGCTTGTGAGAGCTGCCAAACAAGCGCCGAGTTGACAGCATAGTCGTTCCTTAAAAAAACACCATTTTACCGGTGCTATCGATATTAGGTTCCCTATAGTAGTCAGGTAGCACAACGGTCTTGTAAAGGCCTAGAACATACTGTTTACGAAATGCATCAACCAACCTGTCTGTGATGCCGGACATGGTTGGTTCTGGATCACCATGCGTATGCATTTCCATGAACTTGACACTTACCGGTCCACAATCACCTGATCTTTCATTTCTATAGATGTCTTTGGTGCGGATCCATGTAAAAGGCTATAGTTTGCGAAATTGAGTGAGCTCGTACTTAGCAACCTTCTTGACAAGGTAAGGAAGGGACTTCAAGACCGGATTCATGAAACACTCCACCTTCTTATCACTGTAGAGGTGAGTCATTGGGTCAAGTATTTCAACAAGACCCAAGTCTAGGTTGATTGCAAGACCAACCCAATGTCTGTCATCCCATATCATGGGTGTGTAAACCGTAGTAACATCATCCATCCATTTCCTGCCAGGCATGAGAACGATATCTAAAAGCTGTTTGTCCCAGTTGAATGATTCTTTCTTGCGTGACATGCTGAAGTTTGGATAAATTTCCTGAATACCAAGAGTTAGATATGATTTTGTGAAGCACAGTCTCTGACTTTGAAGAAGTTCAGCGTGCTTTTCGATAACATGTGCATTAGCATAACCATGTGCTGCAGAGAAGAAGAAGATGTGCGAGGTTAGTAAAAATGATCCTGAGTAGAAAGATTATCACAATGTTTTGTAGATAATAGGTGATCATATAAAGTTTCAGACAGTGGTCCCCAACTTACATATGTTTTAGTCCATTGCTTTGGCACAGCTAGTTGTAGGAGGAAATTGTTGGAGAAGCTCAACTTCGAATAGGCCTGGGCATTCGGGTAGTCGGGTCGGGTTCGGGTCGGGTCCTTTCGGGTCCGGGTCTTTCGGGTCTAAGAGTTTAGGACCCGATAGGGTAATTTCAAATTTTCGGTTCCGGTTCGGTTCGGGTCGTACCGGGTCCGGGTCGGGTCTTAGATAGTTGGACCCATTCGGGTAATTAGAATTTATCGGTTCGGATTCGGTTCGGTTCCGGGTCGGGTTCGGTTCGGGTTCGACCTAAAAAATACCTAAATATATAAAAAAAATCTGAAATATTTATATATCCGAAAATATTCAAAATTTTATTCAAAATTTGTGTTTTTATTATATTAAAATGTGTATATATATTAAAAGATGCGAGATACAACAACAATTTGTTGTCTCCTAGTGGTTGACCCCCTTACTCTCTATAGAAACAACCCGTCTCCGACTCCCCCTCAATGCATTTTATTTAATTTACACTATTAATTCGGGTACCCATCGGGTTTCGGGTTCGGTCCGGGTCGGGTCCAAGACCCGCGGGTCCTCCACAACAAGACCCGATAGGGTAATTTGATCGGGCCGGTTCCTACCCGGACCGGGTTTTTTCGGGTCGGTTTCGGGTCGGGTCTTCGGGTCCGGGTAAAATGCCCAGGCCTAACTTCGAAGGTGTGATGTGAAACCTGAATCATTAAAACTGTTCACTACGTTAAGTAGTAGTATGTAAAAAAAATTGGGTGCGATAACAATGTAGGGAAACTTACGCCTCTCCGAACTTTGAAACAGATTTGTAGAAGAGATCACATTTTATTTGGGGAAGTGGACAGATAAGAGTAGGCGCTGGGATTTCTTTGCATTTGTATAGCTCCTTAGCAACGTTGTTTTCCTCCATGCAGGGGATATAAGGGGGTCTACGCCTTTGTGGAGTGCCTTCACAGTCGCTTATCTCAACATCGTCAGTGTTATCAGATGGTTGTGCCTGGTTTTCCAGTTTGTGCAAAAGACAGTAATGAAGGTTATGAATGCGGTAGTAGAAACATCAAACAAGGTACTGGAGTGTTAAAGAAGCATACAAACCTCGACTACATGGATGGTTGGTTCTGATACTCGAGAATGGGATGTAGAGGTTGCGGAAAAAGCGTTAACCCCTGCTGCATGTAGAGCAAAACCCGAAATGCTGGTTGGACTCTTAGTAGGAGAACTCTCTAGTGAGCAAGGTCGGGGTGGCAAAGGGAACATGCAAGTCCTACGGGAAGTTGGGCCTACTGAAGAGTCATATGTCGGTTGGGTGGGTGTGATAGGGTCAGAACAAATGGGTGACTGGATATCGACACCACTAAAGAGAAGGTCTTGGAAAGGAGGGCCTTTGGGTGTGTCTGCTGGAGAGAGGTGCATATCCAATGGAGGTGCGCTTGTATCATACAAGGGAGACGGCGTAGGAGTCGATGATTTTTGGATCTCTTCATTGGATTGATCGACTTGGGAATCCTGTACGGCGAGTTGGGAGTTGTGGACGGGTGAGTTGTGGACGGGTGAGGTGTGGCCCGACAAGGTGTGGATGGGTGAGTTGTGTACGGGGGTGGTGTTTTGGGATTGTTTGTGTACAGTGATGTCCTGTACAGAAGCCAGGGTTGTAGAGTCTTTCTGAAGATAGTGTTGCGCATCATATTGGCTGATAAGGGGGGGGATAGTGAGGAAGTACCATCTACATCCATGTCAGTCTCATTCTGCAAAAGTATAGATGGGCTTTTAAATGTAAACATTATGAAAAGAGCGCTTTTAAACATTATGAAACTTCGTCAATGACTAAAATGGTTCAAAGTCATAGATGTCTTGGAAGAAGGAAAGGCAGGGACGGTTGGAAATGTTGATCCATTTGCGGCTTAGGCTGCAGGGAGAAAGTTATATTTGTTATAACTCTCGAAAATCCTATATGGAAGAAAACATAAAGTAGTATGTAGGTGAAATGTACTCACAAGACTATTGTCGGTGGCATCTTCATTCATCCATGTCGGGTCAGTCTGGCATCCTTTGTTTGAACGGTTGCCACTTATCTTACAACATCTGAATCTTCTGTTGCAAGTATTGGAAGAGGAGATCAGGGAATGGAAGGAGGATCGCTTACATGAGGAACGACGCTTCCTTAGTCGAAGTTGTTTGCGGAAACTCTTAAACTGTTGTTGAACTTCACCAACTTGTGATGATAGACTACTAAGAATAGCTAATACTTGTTTGTGTTGAGTGATGGAAGGAGCAGCTCTAGAGCAAAACGTGCTGATGCGTCTCTGATTGTGGGAAGACGATGTTTGCTTGATGGAATGTCTAAGCTTGATATTCTTTACGCCTGGTTTCCTTGAGCGTGTGGACCGCTTCTTGTTCTCCTGTCTGACGACAACGCTTGGGAAAGTGATGAAGGGTTCAGAAGTATCACCACCGAGCCACATGATCTTTGTGAAAGGCTGTAGATCAGCAATACGTTTCTCCATGTAGGCAACCCTATCATCGACACATACATCGGGTCAAATCCCCCAACCAGGCTCTGGTTGTGTCTCTAACGGTATCAGTGCCGTGACTACGAGCTATAACAAATGAGAGAGGGAGTTAGAACGAGTGCAAGAATGAAAAATTTTTAAAACAGAGAATTGGTAAGAAGGACTAGCCTTTGGATCAGCTTCCACACGGTGTATATCTATCGTCGAAATTGGTGGGTGATTAGGGAGGTGATCTTCACCGAGGTCCATGATTGTGAGCGTGTCGTAGGGGGCTTGGATTATAGTGAGCAACTTTGGGACATCAGCAAATGCAAGCAGCTGTAGCGACAGAGGAAAACCCTGAAGTCTGTAGGTTTTCTACTTCAGATATTCAACAAGTTTTGCAGAGGGATATTTGCATGTGCGTTTGTAAAACTTGAGAGGTTTCATGCAAGTAATAGTCTTGAGAAACGACTCTCTTCCCCAAGAGTGACTGAAAAATACATCAAGATCTTCGAGAAGCTTAACGAACCTAAATGTTGGCCTGAGCTTCTGTTCGTGAGCTATAAGAACTCCATCCACAATGATTATTAGTGCCAAACACACCTTCTTCCAGCTTGTCATGCTTCTGTCTGACTCGAGCTTGTGAGCTAGCTCCTCGATAGTGGTGAACCTCTTCTTTCGGATGAGCCTAACCCATAATGATTCTTTTCATGGGTCAGTTGTTGTCTTCGTGTCGGGATTGTAGCCAGGAGGAAACGCACCGCATGGCAAAATGGTAATTGTTTCGAATTCTTGAAGACCAAACCGGAGAGGTTTGCCCCCAAATACAGACCAAAGAGTGTGCTTGTCCACGCATAGGAGTTGTCTCGTCAGGAATGAGTGTATAAGTTTTGCGGAAACAGGACACTGGCGTGCTGGTAGATCGAACAACTTTCCAAAGAAAGACGCCATGATGATATCAAACTCCTTTGTATCCCGGAGAACGTGGCGAATGAAAGCTAGATAGTCCGGCTTGGAGTAAATATTGTGGCGGTGGCAGGGGTAACGGTCAGAAATAAACAGCCTCTGTGGAAGGCGGTTGTCGATATTATCCTCCGTTGTAGAAAACGAGAAAGTAGAGGAAGTTACAACGATTTTTTTTTTTTTTAAAACCCCAATTTCTAGATCTGTAACTAAGAAGAGATGAATCATCGAGAAAAATGAGAGTAAATAAACATTGTATGGAATCAAGAGGTGATGAAACGCGAAACATAGATGCATTGCGAATCGGATCTGAAAACGACCAAACCTTAAACTCAAAAAATTGTTGTTAGATTGAGCAAGAGATAATAGTACCTTCCATAAGCTAACAGATGAGCCGCGACGAGCACGACTAGATCGAGAATCTGGGTGTTCGAGAAGTTCAAGATTGGAAAAGAAAAAAGGGCCAGGGTTCGAGAGAGAAGATGAAGAGTAGGTGAAATTGGCCAAATAATTTAGATCTAAACAAAACCTTTCAAAATTCGAAAGTGTCTCGTGAAAAATGTACTGGTATAAGTCTGGTTTGAGATCTGAGTCTGGTTGAACCAGAATCATTTCTCCCTTCTCTATACAAAGGACATTGTTGTCATTTTGAGTAGACAGAAGTATGTAACAAGTGGTATGTGACCTTTTTTGAAATTAGAATAAGGGAAAGCGGCTCAAAGAGTAAAAAACTCATATTATATCCTGTGAAAACTAATCAATTTCTTGTGACTTTTACATCATTTGTTGAGTACAGTATATTTTATGCGATTGATTTAAGGTTGGACACGGTAAAAACTCTGTTCACTATAACCATTTAGAATTCAATTATCCATGCGTTAAACAGTAAGGAAAAAAACTCAATCATATGACACGTTAAGACAGACTTATCAACCCAATCTTTGACCAAAAAAAAAAAAAAAAATCAACCCAATTTTTTTTTGTTTTTTTGGACAAATCAACATAAACTTTTGAAAGACGTTTTCATCATATATTCAGGAAACAAACTATTAAATTATGACCATAGAGAAAAAAAGATAAAATTATGACCATAGAGAGCATGGGAACTCTTCAAAATCAATCGTCTCTTGAAACCACCAAGAACCATCGTTACTATTAATACTGTTGTCACTGCTACTGCTGCTATGGTCTTCTAAAATATTTGCGTCACTTTGGTCTATAGAAGTTTTGAATATCCAGTCGAAAATCCGGTTTTCATATGGTGAATTCATAACACCGAAGTGCTCTCTTTCACAAATAAGACCATTGGTTTCTTTGTCACTCTCCATGTTTATCTGCTTATCCTCTTTCACAGTTTCTTCAAAACCATGTTCTCGAGTCGTCGTCCTTGTCCATGTAATCTCACTTTCCTTATACTTGCGCAGCATTTCTTCTCCTTTATTTCCTCTCCAGTCAATGATCTTATCTGCAATAAAACACATCACTAATGGTGATCTAAATTTAACATATATATATATATATTCTCAACGATGAAAGATTGATATAAGTATGAGTATATATATATATATTTATATCTACCATTGTTTTGAGCTTCCACTTTCTTTCTTAAATGAGTCCTCCAGTAGTTCTTAATCTCATTATCAGTCCTACCAGGTAATCTCCTTGCAATTTTTGACCACCTATTGATATACAATATTTATAGTTCAAATTAAAAATACAACCATTGAAGTAAGAGATTCAAGCCTTAGTTTTTTTTTGTTTCGTACTTGTTACCCCAGAGAGCATGGAGCTGAAAAATGATTATTTCTTCTTCTTTGCTCATCGGTCCACGCTTCAAACTTGGATTCAGATAGTTAATCCACCTTAGCCTGCAACTCTTACCATTCCTCTTCAAGCCTAAGTATGACCAAAACAAACAAACATATGTTTAGACATATGGAAACTTTCTATATTTAGAAAGTGACACAAGCAAGGTTTCAAAGTGTTTAGTCAAAAAAAAAAAAAAGGTTTCAAAGTGTACCGGAAACTCTTGCTAAAGAATCCCAACGATGCTCTCCCATAAGGGTAACGAACTTCACTAGCCGTGCATCTTCTTCTTCGAGCCATGGACCTCTACGGAGTGCTCCTTCCTTCTTACAATCCATGTTTCTTTCTTATTTTGTTTGGCTTAATAAAATTCTTATTAAACTTGTGATTTGAACTTGGAAGCTTACTTTGTCCTTGCTTAAATAGCAAAGTCGCGAGATTACCCAAATTGGGAATGTCCAATAAAAGCTGACGAACACAAATAGTTTAGTGGATAATAACATCATGCATCAGCATCTGTTAGGTTCTTGTTTTTTTACTTCTTGATCATCTTTAAATTGTAGATTATAGATTTGGATTAGGTTCCAAGTATATTTTCTTCCTTTTTAAAATCATCATCAAGTTGTGATTTTTCTTTTAACTATTTTTTCAGGGGTTATGGCTTACATCATCTTAGAACTTCAATTAATTTATTCATATATCCAATTGAAATTCAGTTTATTAGGGGTTTAAAAACGAAGATGAAGTATTTTAATAGGGTTTCAGATAAAGAAGGATAAAAGAAGATCTTTATGTATCTTCTCTCCACCCATTTCATAAGTGTAAGCCAACGAAGCATTATTTAGTTTGAGTAACTAAACACTAAACTTAAATCGACGCATCTGTACTATCTAAAGAAAATATCAAAGAGCAGTGATACGTGCTTGCCAAATATTTAGGAGTACACAATATATGGCTCATGGTGCTCACAATATATTAATGTTTTACATTTTAACTAATGTAGTTTAGTTCGAAACAAAACTATAAACTGAAATGTACAGATACAGAATATGAATGGTAATAAATAAATAAAATAATTTAAACGAATAAAAAGCAAAAAAGAGTAGAAAATTTTGTTTCATTTTTTGAAAAACTTTAAACAATTAATTTAATACAGAGGGAGTATGTTATCTGGATCAGCTTGGTTAAAGTCAGTTAAGGATCAATATCGATTGATTTGGGTTTGGCTAGTGGTAAGTAGACTTGTGTGGTTAGAGTAGGTTCTGTGAGTAAAAGGATATCAACATTGGCAATTCCGAAAAGAAAAAAAAAATGAGAAACCAAGACTGGGAGCGAGCAAATCCTGATTCGGAATCCAACTCGAACCGTAATTCTAATTTCAAAACCGCATCAACCGACCAAAGTCTTCTTTCTATTCTTGACGACATCAAATCTTCCAAGTCTCCGGTAATGACAGGCTACATTACATAAACGTTAAGCTAGTTCTTCGTTACTAATCTTCTTGTTTTTGCTTTGTGATCTGCAGGCAGTTATTAACTATGGAGCTTCGTGGTATGATCTTCTGTCCTTTTTTTTTGTACTTTTCTAAAGACAGCATGTTATGTTTACAACCTGTTCGACGAAATGCTTCAATGGGAATATTTTTTATTTATTTCAGGTGTGGAGTGTGTAGCCAGATTTTTCCTGCTTTCCAAGAGCTTAGCAACAGTTTTAAAGGGATGAATTTTGTTTACGCGGATATCGACGAATGCCCTGAAACCACTCGTCACATCCGTTACACTCCAACGTTTCAGTTTTACAGAAACGGCGAAAAAGTCGACGAGATGTTTGGAACTGGTGAGGAGAGGCTCCGTGATCGTCTCTGGCTTCACTCCTGAAAAATCATCATGTGTTTATGGAATCTCTACTACTTTTGTTAACAGCCTTTTCTCATTTCACTACAATGAATAATTTTCAGGCATAACAGACTCTCCTGTTACCTTATCAAAAACTGGATTCAAAGAGAAAAAAGGGGTTGAGAATTAAATGACTTTTCTGTTAATTTGAATCTTTCGCTCTGGTCTTTAACAAGCGTCTAGTTCAACCGGCTCAAGTATTATGTTACCCTCGTAGTCCGTTGACGTGGGAAGGAGTCCAAGAATGGAATATTGAGTTTTGATCACCATTTTGTTTAATTAAATAAAGGTTAGTAAACTTTTTTCTAAAATTCGGTAGCCGCCTACCCAGCAAATTAATTCAAATCCGTTTAAATTATTTGAAATCGGTTGAAAATGATCTAAAATTTCAGTAGAAATGGAAGAAACCGGTCTTAATTGATGTAATACAATCTGCACTGATCTAAATTTCTGAATCAAGCAATAATATTAGTTTGTTGTTTAAAAAAAAGCAATAATATTAGTTTAAACTCATAAATTTGTTTAATTTTTTATATCTAATTGGGAAATTTGGCCCTATGACTACAAAAAAAAACACAAATTTGTAAACTAGCCAAAAGTACACTCTCTCTCTCCAACTTTCTCTTCCTATATCTCTCCTCCCTCTTACTACCAAACTAATTTTACTTTTTTTTTTGGTTAGTACACAAATAAGCCCTATCTAATTATTATAATTTAGCAAAATGATTTTGTAATTAAACAGACAAACTAATTATCTAACACAAATATAAATATATATAAATGATATATTATAACAAAAGTCACAGTTTTGATTTATGTGTGATATTTAAAAAATGGTCTCTCACTAGAAACCAATTAACACTCATTCATTTGTTCCTCATAATATGACTTTATAATATTTCATTTCTAATATAACATTCGGCTCCTATAAAACCGGATTGGTTAACAAACACATATTTGATTCTTTAATAAATTATACATAGTGGTAATATAAACCATTATATAGTTCAAAATACTGAACCGATTTAAATAATTCAACCAATGTATATATAATGGTTATATAAACATCTTATCTATTAAAATAGAAATCATGACTTCTTTCATGTATGATTTTTTAATCTGTATAATCTTAACAACTTTAAACATAATATATTTTGATATTTTTCCAGTTTAAATATAAATAAATATATATTTTTAAAAATCTAACAAATCTGTTTAACAAATTTTAACAAGATCTTAATATTCAAAAATTCTGAGTAAATATTATTCAATTTTTTATTACTTTTCAATTAATTCTAAAATATTATTTACATTAGTATCTATACTATTAAAACACAAGGCTTTTTTTGAGGTCCCCTTGATTTTTGGAAATATTTACAGATCTTTGCCACTGCATTATTTATACCTATAGTTTTTACTATTAATTATTTTTCCACCAAATCTTTTTCCAACAAAATATATATTGCCTTGATTATTTCTCCATTTTAATTTTAATAACAATATTATGTCATTGATTTAAACTACAAAATCAATATTCCTAAATGTCGTCAATTATGGTGATAATTATAGAAATATCATGTTTATTAGTTACCTTAATATATTTGCAATTTTTATTTATAATTTTCTTTTTGTCTATATAGTAAAAAGTAACTATTTCTAATGATATAAAAAATTATTTTTAAGCAAATACGAAAGTACTTAATGTTAAATAGTAATTTGCTGTTATATAACAGATTATAAAATCATGAACCAAACAATATATATGTACACCATTTATGCTAATAACTTATCTTTCAAGTAAATGTAATGTAATGGAGTAGGAATTTCGTTTTATAACAAACAAACATGTAAAATAAAAAAAAATATATAGTGCATCATAAAATTTAAATTGAAATATAGTTCTTATAGTAGTTCATCAAATAAAAAAAAAATAGAACTTTCGTTTTATTTGTACAATAAATATGTAAAATAAAATACCTAAAACTTAAATTGTTATTAACCTTTTAAAAATATTTTGTAAAAAAATATTATAAAGAACTAACGAATTTAAGAGTATACATTTGTTAGAATGTAACAAATAAATTAATATGTGAGATAAACTCTTCAACTAGATAACTTATTAAGAATACTTCGTAATAGCATCATTTAAAATATTTCACTAAGTTTGGTTGCTCAATCTCAAACCCGTGTCGGGTATGAAAACACTGCTCAACACAATTATAAATGTATTTGCAAAATTTCAACACATGTAATTTTATAATTATCAAATCTTTGTTTAGTATAAATCAATTTATAAGGAAAATATATTCCGCTTTTGAAAAGATATGTGGTAGTCGCATGTCCAAGATATATTAAAGAGATATTGTTGGTATATTTGTGTTGGGCTTGGGTCGTTAATATGATGTATTGATTTATTTACGGGCTTGCAATAATCATTCGCAGTTGTATTTTGAATTTATATGTTATTTTCTTATATAATTGTTCTGTTAATCATATTTTTTAAACACATATCCTCTATATAATACAATGTCAATTTTTATGACCATAATTTTAAAATAAAACAGTCGGTTGTATCTCTATTTATTTTATATGATAATAATATCAACCAAATTGTTTATAATAGTACCCTAAATTTATATTTTTTTTATAAAAATAAGTTTGAACTCAAAATATAAACTATTACAAATCAATACTTTAGATTATCAAATAGAACTCATAATTTCATCGGTCTCTACAATTTTTTATCTAACTAAAACGAATAAGAAAAATCAATCTTATACCACACATTAAATTGTATGTAATCGTATTTAATCTACATATGTTAGACCAAACCAAAATTATTAACGATAATCTATCTGAACCCGGATACTTATGTCTATACATACTTGTGAATAATCAAACAAGGGTATAAATTTAAAACAAAAATGGTTGTCTCGTCCTGTTTAAGGGCGGGTCAAAATCTAGTATTTTATTAAATGTACGATAAAAGTTATCACTAAATGTGATAAATTATATTAAATCATTAACTATATATATTTTATTTTTAGGAGTATTTATGTTCAAAATTTAATATGTTGGTAATAGTGGTTAAATTTCGCAAACTATATAATACATGTATAAAATTTAACATGTATTTCTTAAAGCTAATAATATAAATGATTTGTAACTATTTTAATCATGATATCGTTTTATTTTAATATAAATATATATAATTCTAACAAATCTGTTGAAAAGTATTTTAACAATATCTTAATTTTCAGGAAGTTTATGTAAATATTTTAACTAGTTTTGTAATTAGAAATGAACTATTATTACATTAATATATATTCAATTATCATTTATAAAATGAAACATAAAAATTATATCTTATTTTTATCTATTTTATAATAATAATATTTCATGTTAAATAAAAATTATTATATTGAATTAGATATGATAAATTATATTAAATTGATAAATTTATAATTTTTCTTTTCATAAATATAAAATATTTATGATAAAATATGATACGCTGACATAACAACTTAACATTCGCAAACTATATGACACATGTACAAAAATTGACATATCTTACACTTTTGAATATACAAAAATATATTTTTCTAAATGAATAAACGTGAAAAATATTACTAAAAGGAAATACGAATTTGAAGGTTAGTAGGTCAGAATTGAATATAAATTTGACACAAAATAAATGTTAAATATGCTGTTTCATGCATACATTATTTTTTTAATAACTAAATCAAAATACATTAACATAAATATATAATAAAAAGCGACAAATACATGTGATAAATTTGAACTATTGATTAATTACACCATATAAACTATAAATTTTTTATATTTGAAATAGATATATCAACATTTAAATATATAGTTAACATTAAAACTGTATACCACTAATGAATTGAAATGAATATAGATATTTATAAAATTGTATACCAGTAACTTAAAATTTAGTTAATAATTAAAACGCTTCGAACATCTTCTCTATTAAAAGAGAAGTACCATTTTTATCTACTACAAAATAGTTATACTAGATCCATATATTCAGTTACATTTTTTTGATTATTTAATTAGTTTATTTAATGTATAAAATTTCTAAATAATTATAAGGATATCAATAATAAATCTATTTTGAATGTAATTTTAAATTTAAGTTCTAGTAATCACAAAATCTGTTGAGACAAAACCTAAAAATAATTTTTTTAATTAATACACTGATTAATTTCGTAATTAGTAGTATAATATTATTATAAATTAATCTTAATTAATATTTTTTATAAACAAAATATAATAAATTATATGCTAATTTTATAAATTTTATAATTGTAGTCTGTATTATATTAAAATAGTAGTAATAAATGAATTACATATAAAAATTATATTAGATTGGTAATTTTTGAGAAAAAATCATTTAAATAAATAAAGAAAATATCATCCACCAGTTACGGGACTAAAATATCATTTACTTTTTAAAGATATTAAACATTCCTAAATTATGTAATAAATTTTATAGAAAATAAGATTGTTAACATATGTTAGTTTTTAATATTTAGAACTATATATTATCTATTTATTTATTTTAAAAATGACAGAAATATATTATATAAAAATGATTCAATATTAAATATAGTATAAAATTTTATATTTATAAAATGAAAGAGTACCCGCACAGATGTTCGGATCAAAATCTAGTTGCTAGTAAATGTGATTACCATGTGTTATATTTGTTGAAGTTGTTTTCTTTTCGGATGACAAAGAAACGTATTTATTGATTACTACGTGATGACAACATTGACAAGAAACGTATTTATCTTCTTCTGTATAAAAGACACACGTGGCTGTACATATCCGCATAAGAAACCGAACTGATCACTTTAACCAAAGTATTCACAGCTGTTGGAAAGATACAACAGTACTTTCTTTCTCTTTGCGAAGCTCTGTTCTTCTACTCGAAAACTAGCCATGGCGAATCAACCTGAATCATCTGATCCGTAAGTACTTGCGGATTGCAACGTAGCTAGATGAGTTTGTTTGTGTAGCTCTGTTCTTGTTTCGATAATTTTTAATTTTGAATCTTTCAGGAAAGAAACGAAGAGGGACTTTAGCACGGCGATTCTAGAGAGGAAGAAGGCGGCTAATCGTTTGGTTGTGGACGAGGCGATCAACGATGATAACTCCGTCGTGTCTCTAAACCCTAACACCATGGAGAAGCTACAACTCTTTCGTGGAGATACCGTCTTACTCAAGGTTTGTGTTGTGAACAAACATGAATCAAGTACGAAGAAAGAAAATATTTTTTTTCATGCAAAAATATGATTAAGGCAAATATCCGTTATAAGATTTATATTAACTATGTGAATTAATAATTTATAACCAATTATATCTTTTTATTATACAGTACCCTTTAGATCTATATTTACACAACTTCAAAAACCTGATATTCATTTTCCATTTTAGTAGTGCATGTAGATTTAAGTCATTCCAAAATCAACCCTTTGGTTTTATTTCTTATACTTTTCTTCTACTTCTGGCTGAATCCAAGGGTCTTGTGCATGTGTCTTGAATTGTAATTGACATCTTCGATTCCTCTCCATTTTTGGGTCTCTTTAGGGAAAGAAGAGGAAGGATACTGTGTGTATTGCTTTAGCTGATGATACATGTGATGAACCAAAGGTTAGGATGAACAAGGTTGTTAGGTCAAACCTGAGGGTTAGGCTCGGAGATGTAATCTCTATCCATCAATGCCCTGACGTCAAGTATGGGAAGCGAGTTCACATCTTGCCCTTAGATGATACCATTGAAGGAGTTAGTGGAAATATCTTTGATGCCTACCTTAAACGTGAGTGTTTTTCTCTTCTTTCATATTACCATTGTCTTGATTGTTGTAGGAAAATGTTCTAAAAGTTGGTCTAGTGGAAAATCGGTTTCCTAAAATCTGATCGGTTTAAAAATTCTAGATGTTTCTTCTTATGTCTCTTAGTGTTCTGTGTTTAACATATTGGTTTCTTGCGTCTTGCCAGCTTATTTTCTGGAGGCATACCGCCCGGTGAGGAAGGGTGATCTTTTCCTAGTTAGAGGAGGAATGAGAAGCATTGAGTTTAAGGTTATTGAGACCGATCCTGCTGAGTACTGTGTGGTTGCTCCAGACACAGAGATATTCTGTGAAGGTGAACCGATAAAGAGAGAGGATGAGGAGAGACTAGATGAAGTTGGTTATGATGACGTTGGTGGTGTTAGGAAACAAATGGCTCAGATTAGAGAACTTGTTGAGCTTCCTTTGAGGCATCCACAGCTCTTCAAGTCCATCGGTGTTAAGCCTCCTAAAGGAATCTTGCTCTACGGCCCTCCAGGTTCAGGCAAGACACTGATTGCTCGTGCTGTTGCTAATGAGACCGGTGCGTTTTTCTTCTGTATCAATGGTCCGGAGATTATGTCCAAGCTAGCTGGTGAGAGTGAAAGCAACCTTAGGAAAGCGTTTGAGGAGGCTGAGAAGAATGCGCCTTCGATCATTTTCATTGATGAGCTTGATTCCATTGCTCCAAAGAGAGAAAAGACTCATGGGGAGGTTGAGAGAAGGATTGTTTCACAGCTCTTGACGCTTATGGATGGGCTTAAATCTCGAGCACATGTGATTGTTATGGGAGCAACCAACCGTCCTAACAGCATTGACCCGGCTTTGAGAAGGTTTGGAAGATTCGACAGGGAGATTGATATTGGTGTTCCTGATGAGATTGGTCGTCTTGAAGTCCTCAGGATTCACACCAAGAACATGAAGCTCGCAGAAGATGTAGTGTTCTGTTTTATATATGATCTTCATTTCTTCTGCATTGTTATACCTGACATAATTTGCTATTTACCAGGTTGATTTGGAAAGAGTATCTAAAGATACACATGGGTATGTTGGTGCGGACCTTGCAGCATTATGCACTGAAGCTGCTCTCCAATGCATCAGGGAGAAGATGGATGTGATCGACCTAGAAGATGAGGAGATAGATGCTGAAATTCTGAACTCTATGGCTGTGACTAATGAGCATTTTCAGACAGCTCTTGGTAACAGCAATCCTTCTGCTCTACGTGAGACGGTAAGTTCACAAAAAATACTTTGGTTTTAAGATTTCAATATTTGGTTTTAAGATTTCTAGTACTTTATATATTTCACATAAAATACAATTTTATGATTATTTTCATTTAAATGTGATATTACATATATAAATTTTTGTTCTTTTGAATAACCAATAGATTTTTACAATTTTATTCAACTAATTACACTATTAAATTTTCATAAAAACCTCTCTATTTTGTCTCTCAAAATTCTTTCAAGTTTTCCAGAACTTAAAATTTTCTTAATCTGCATTAAATGTGTGAAAGTGACATTTTTTTTTACAAAAAGGTATTTTATTAAACTTTTATTTGTCTCCATCCAGGTCGTTGAGGTGCCTAATGTTTCTTGGGAGGACATTGGTGGTCTTGAGAATGTCAAGAGGGAACTCCAAGAGGTAAGGAGTTTCAACATTCAAATATCATTTTCAAATATTTACATGTGAATATGAACTAATCTAATTCAAATTTTGCTATGTTTTAGACTGTTCAATATCCAGTGGAGCATCCTGAAAAATTCGAGAAGTTCGGTATGTCACCGTCTAAAGGAGTCCTTTTCTACGGTCCTCCTGGTTGTGGAAAGACCCTTTTGGCCAAAGCCATCGCCAACGAGTGTCAAGCTAACTTCATAAGTATCAAAGGCCCTGAGCTTCTCACAATGTGGTTTGGAGAGAGTGAGGCAAATGTCAGAGAGATATTCGACAAAGCACGCCAATCAGCTCCTTGTGTTCTTTTCTTTGATGAGCTTGACTCCATCGCCACTCAGAGAGGGAGCAGCGTTGGAGACGCTGGTGGTGCAGCAGACAGAGTATTGAACCAGCTTCTTACAGAGATGGATGGTATGTCTGCTAAGAAGACTGTCTTCATCATTGGAGCAACAAACAGACCAGATATCATCGACCCTGCGCTTCTTCGTCCTGGTCGTCTTGATCAGCTCATCTACATTCCTCTTCCTGATGAGGAGTCTCGTTATCAAATCTTTAAGTCTTGCTTGAGGAAGTCTCCAGTGGCTAAAGATGTCGACTTAAGGGCTCTTGCTAAATACACTCAAGGGTTCAGCGGTGCTGACATCACAGAGATTTGTCAGCGTGCTTGCAAGTACGCGATCAGAGAGAACATCGAGAAGGTGTCTGAATCTTGAAACATAACGGCTAATCTTGAAACATAACGACTTATGATGTTTTTTGTTTTTGTTTTTAGGATATTGAGAAGGAGAGGAAGAAAGCAGAGACACCAGAAGCAATGGAAGAGGACGAAGAGGAGGTTGCACAGATAAAAGCTAGTCACTTCGAAGAATCAATGAAGTTTGCGAGAAGGTCAGTGAGTGATGCAGACATACGCAAGTATCAGGCTTTTGCTCAGACTCTCCAGCAGTCACGTGGGATTGGAAGTGAGTTCAGGTTCCCAGAAGCGACAGCGACTGGAGGTGCAGCCACCACGGCTGGTGGAGCTGACCCGTTTGCTACTGCGGGAGGAGCAGCCGAGGACGATGATCTTTATAGCTAAACTAAATATATAACCTGTCTCTCTTCTCTCTGTAACTTTGATATGCTAGAATATCTTTTCACTTGTTTTTGTTCTGTTCTTTTTATTTTGTATATATAATGAATAATATGTATGATGAAATAAATCTTATGAAACTGGAATTCTGTAGTCGAAGGACTTTGCATTGACCTAATTTCATCGCTCCAATCAATCCCATCATGAAGCGAGCTACCACCAATCTGCAAAATTCTACCTATAGTTTAGACCACCCTAATATGTACTTCTACAAGGACGGTGATAGTGAATTAGTGATTAGGGGTTGGCAAAAAAAAAACATACCGAAGCTAAATTGACCTTAACCGAACATGTCTAAACCATTTAGTCAAAGCTTTCATCAATTTGAACTGAACTGGAAATAATGTGTTTACTAAGCACGGGATGAACATTGTGTATAACATTATTTTTATGTACTATTAATTATTTTATGTTTTTACGTATTAGAAAACTAACATAAAATAAATATATATTGAATAACGAAAAACAGTTAATTATTACATATATAATTAAATCGTTGCAAACACATCAAAACAATCACTTTTTATTTATTTACCATTATTTTAGAGTAAGTAATATTAATACATATATTTAATATATTTTAATATGGCTATCGATTAAACGAAACTTCTTAATCATATAGTTTTATGATTATCTATATATTTTTATAACAAAAATTGTAAACCCGTGATAACATTTACAGTGTGAGACTTTTAATATTTTTAATAATTTTTTTTAAAAGAATTTAATGTAAATTTTGAAATTAAGTTCTCAATTTTTTTTAGTGCAAATTTTGAAATTAAAATATTTTGTATATTTATGGTATATACTTTAATATATATATAAATATATATATTATTTAAATATCTATTAAATGAGACTTTTTACTCATATGATTTTTGATCATTTACATCTTTTTATACTAAAAATTTAAACCACTGATCACAAATATTTTAATGTAGAACTTTTAACAGTTTTAATAATTTATAGTAATTAAAAAAATAAAATTATAACATATACATAAATGTAAAATTTTTATGATATGATATTGTTAATATAATTGTTTATTTTATGTTAATAATCCCTTATATATTATTTGAGAATCATTTAAAAAGTTGTAACCTTAAGTTTGTAAGAATTAAAAATAACCACAATCCTATGTGGCATAGCTCTTTGACTTTTATTTCAAATCCCAAGGATTCTATGCATGTGATATAATGTATAGTCTAAAAATTATACTCTCTAGCAATATAATATTTTGTAGGTTATAGTTGGTCGCATATATCAAATAGTTATTGTTTCGCATGATTTCCTTAAATAAAACCTACGGAATTACCTAATATGATTAAAATATATATATGAAAATTAATGATTTTAAACAAGAAAGATTTGATAACAATCTGTATACTTTTTCTCATTTTGTTTATTTATTTATTATTAAAATAAATTACACAATTACATTAATCATATAATAAAAATCTAGATTTTTTTGTGTGTATGTTGTATTTCGAATTTTTCAAAATGAGTATAAATTACTAAAAATGTTAAAAGTCTCACATAAACTTTTAGGATCAAGGTTTTAATTTTTTTTCTGTATTAAAATATAATGAATAAAACCATATGAAGAAATAATTTTAGTTTATATACATATTTCATATCGTTTTAAATTAACTATACATCGTATGAAAATACATACTTATATTTTGATATTTGCCTTGAACATATATTGAAAAGTTAATATTTTAATTTTGCAATATGTCATTGTTTTACAATGATTATAAATTATTAAAACTACTAAACATCTCACATTAAAAAACATTTGTTGGTGTAAAATTTTGTTACATAAATATGCAAATAATCATAAAATCATATGAGTGAAAACCTCATTTAATAAATATCTATATTAAAAATATGCTATATTACTATGTTTATATCATTTAAATTTAATTATATATCATATACAATATATAAGATTGATTATTTTGATTTATTTACCCTAATTGCAAATAAAAAATGATAGTTAAATTTATATGCATACATCAATTTATCATATAATAGTAACTGATTTATTATTTATTTAATATATATACTTATTATTTTATTATTTTACAATATGCAGAATAGTATAAAATAAAGAATAAATATAAAATACTTATTGTGTATAAAGTGCAGATCTTAACCTAAGTATGTATCTCTTTAATTATTTTAAATCTTAAGTATTTTCTAAATCCCAGGTCAAAACAAATAAACGAAATGAGAATAAAATTCAAAATAAATATTTATATCGAGTAATAACCAAAATATAAAAAAACACAACAAGAGAAAAAATTGAAGATAAATAGGATTGACATGTGAACGTAAACTTCTTATAACCATAATTAATTTTTAAATTGTTAAATCATGATATAAAACTGAGTTAATTTTTATTTGTTAATTTTTATTTTTTTTTAATTTTTTAAATCATTATGGTTATGTTAAATCATGACCATAATTAATTCTAAATTGTTTATTTGTATTTGAAAACCTTAAAATATTGTTTTTAAAAATAATTTAAAATTTTACTTAATTTTTTCTAAAATTATTTTTAAAATATTGTTTTTTGAAAATATAGTTTTATAATATTATTAGACAAATAAATAAATTATATTAAATTAGTTTTGAAACTTTATATATTTTAAATGCAAGTATTTTACCAACTGCTTCTTACAAAAACATTAGGTTACTTGCTAATACTCTACCAATCGAGCCTAATGACACTCCGTTTATTTTCCCTCACTCGAACACTGAAAAGTGAAAAGATATATGAAATCGGGTCCATTACATTCTAAAATTTGATCTACAGTTTTAATTACAATTGTTTCTGATCCTACGTATAGATAATTATATAAAAATTCTAAAATTTTAAAATTTCTAATACATATAAAACAATCATATGTAAATTTAAAATTTGTCAATACTAAAATTTTATATTTTAATTACATATATTCACCATGCGCAAGACGCATGTCTTATCCTAATATAAAATTAAACCTAAATGATGGAAGATACACATGTAGCTTTTTATGCTATCAAATTTTTATTATTAAAATTATTAATTTTTATATATATATATTATATTAAGTAACTCCGTATCTTATATGTAAGGAAAGAAATAAAAACATTAATTGTATATTATTAATTAATTTTATGAGTAGTTTAATGAAAACTATAATATATATTTTATTGTATCAAAAAATTTCTTTATGAGTTTTGAGAAGCATTCTAATGATAATTGTGTCATAAATAAAATATTGTAATGCACATTTTTAATATATATATATATATAGGAAATTACGTTAAATAGATATATAATAAGATAGTTAGCCATTCAACATAAACAGTTAAGTACCTTTTAGGACAAACAATAATTCTTCTACATTATTCAAAACCAAAAAAAAATCAAGTATTAGTTATACTAAGTTTAAATATAACTAAATTTTGACCCGCACAACCGTGTGATTTTTTTGAATACTAAGATATTTTAAGTTATACAATAAAATATATTCATTTATTTTTATAATTTGATGTTTAATATTATCTAACTTTATAATAATGTTTGTGTAGCTTATAATATTATTACTATAAAATTTATAAATTTGTATTTTTGTAACAATTAAAAAATATATTATGTAACGGTAATATTGTTTTATTTTGAAATATATGTGGAAATTAAATTAAGTTGTACATTCATAAATAGAGAAGTAATTTTTTAGGATATTTTAAAAATGAGTTTACATAACTTTGTTATGAATAATTTTTTAATTATATTTTCTGATAACTAAAATTTCAATTAACTAATTTCGAAAATATATTTTTTTTTAAAATCTAAAACATCTTACAAAGATATTGTTAGAATTTTCATAACAATATTTTTTTTTGTATTTCAAATAAAACTAAAGATACGAAAAGATATTATATAATGCTGTTATATAAAATTTAACAAGCTTCTAAGAATAATCCAAATTAAAAATCACACATGAAATGAAATGAATTATGATTTTTGTTTTAATATAATAGATGGTGCTAAATTTTGATTGGTCAGTTAAACTAGTTTCTGATTGGATGTATTAAATGTTCGCAAAAATTATTAAAAAAAGAAAAGAAAAGACAGTGGCATTCCTTGGTAAATAATTCAAAAAACTATGGGTAGAATCATATGAAGAATTTTGCTTTAATAGTATATGTAACTTACGAAAGTTTGTATTTCTGTTTATTTTAGATCTAAAAGTTTTTAAAATATTTGAACATTCAAAATTAGTATATCAGTATTATGTAAAAAATGACATAGTAAATAATTTTTTTTTTTTAAATTTCATGTAGATATTCATATTCGATTGTTAAATCTGAATAACCGCGCTTTAATATTTAATTTAGGGCTGTTTAAAAATACAATACAATTTAAAATACAATATCTTACTTTATAGACCTTTATAAAATATATTTAATTGATGAATTGGGAATTAAATCGATATTCATAACTCATTTTTGGCTTCAATAAAGTGATAATACAATGTTAAACATAGGTATTTGGAATGAACTCCAATATAATTTTATACTTTTGTTTAGATTTAGGGAAGTATGCGTTATATATATGGGAGTGTTATAATTCTTTTCTTTAGGGTATAGAGTTTGTTCGTTTGGGTTTATACTACACAAGAAATGGGTACATATTTCTACACAAAATGGGTTTAATTACTTTAGGCTTAAATGGTGCTAAATTTTGATTGGTCAGTTAAACTTGTTTCTGATTGGCTGTATTAAATGTTGGCAAAAATTATTTAAAGAAAAGAAAAGAAAAGAAAGTGGCATTCCCTGGTAAATAACTCAGAACTATGAACACAATCCTATAAAAATTCTACTTTAATAGTATAGATAGATAGTTTAAAATTACCAGAACTATGAATGTTTGATTTTAATGACTTCCAGTG